CGTCCCAGTAGCCTCAAACAGCTACTCAGGCTCCTACTCCAGGTCCCCCACAGGGTCCCAGCATCAGTTTAGCTACTCCCCAGGGCAGCAGACTTACCCCCAGGATTCTCCAAGGACATCTACACCATTTGGATCAGGGCGTGGTAGAGAAAAAAAGAATGTCTAATGAGTTGGAAAGTTATTTTAAGCCTTCAATGCTTGAAGACCCTTGGGCTGACCTAGAACTAGTATCAGTCCTGGATATAAGCCAACAGTACAGCAATATGCAAACATTCACAGGGAAATAAAGAAAGATACTTTTCTTAAGTTTTCTGAAATTCAATTGGAATCTTTGTGTGTCAGGAACATCTTGGACAGAACTTATGCTTGTGTAAATGAGTTGAACCCAAAGATGATGACTTTGGAAAGTGATTAGCAGACCCTTGGGATATCTCTAACTTTGTCAATTGTTGTTGATGTTAGAAAAGATGATAGGATCATTTGCAGTATTTGGGTATCTGGGAGTACATACCACATTCAGAAGACCACAGTTTCCATATTTAACATTTCTAAAATAACAGACATTTGGGTTTTTTGTCCCCCAGTGGTTTAGAATAAAACATTTTTGTCTTCCTAAAAAATACATTTATTCATTTTTGTTTTGTGTGTGTGTACATGAGCCACAATGTGTGTGGAGGTCAGAGGACAATGTGCAGGAGTCATTTCTCTCCTTCAACCATGCAAGTGGGGACCAGGCATGAACCTTAGGTTCTCAGGCTTGGCAGCAGATGCCTTTACCTCACTACTCCAAGAGGAGGTTTTAAGTCAAAGTGACAAGTTTAGTATTAAGTGATCCTTCTCCAAGACTTAGAACCCAGAAGACTTGAGGCTAAGTGTGTATGTGTTCCACTCACTCTACCCCAAGAAAAATGACTTTGTAGGAATAGATTGTTGGTGGATGTGTAGGGAATCCTGGTTCCCAAGAAGGAACTTCCAGTTGATCTCCACCTGGGTCTGCAGCTCACAATCATGCCACATAGATGGGCTCAGTATCTTTAAGCCATGATTTAAATAAACATGAGCATAGACTGGTATGATCTCCTGTGTGCCTGCCTAGAAGCAAGGGTTAATCCTACCTTTGGAAATACATTGGAATCCATTCCTGTAAACAGTTTTTCAACAACATTGAATAATGCACAAAAGTGTATTACTCAAGGAAAAAACACAATGACCAAAAACAGACAAAATAATCATTAGCAGAAACAGCCTCAAAAGATGTACATAATGGATCACAGATAAAAGGTTTTGAAATGCCAGGAGAAAAATGAGAGCTAGGGAAAGAGAGAGAGAGACAGAGACAGAGACAGAGAGACAGTGTGTGTGTGTATGGAACTGGTATGTTTTTCTTGTTAGTTGGATTTTAGATACTTTAGATTCCTACTATTAAATAAATCTGATTTTGTCTCTAATTAATAGAATCATATTTAATTTTTACAAATTCCCCATAATTGTGTCATGAACATTTATTACTCATGAATAAAAGTAAGAGTTGTTATAAAAGCTAAGTACATCAAAACTAAATTAAATCCTTCCTCATTCCTTGCAAATCCTCATTAAAAAAAAAAAAAAAAAAAGTTGTTGAGAATAGAATGTCAATGGGAATGGGGAAGTGTGCCTGACTTAAGAATATCCATTTCAATTGCTCATTTCTTCTCCCCAGACCTGCCTCCTTAGTCGGGAAAAGCTAAAGCTTCAAAGCTCCTAACCCTGTGAAGGCTGTCTGATGCTCCTCCTTGGGGCTTCCTGCCACCTAGCACTCTGCACACTCTCTCTCTCTCTGTCTTTCTTGCCCCGAGCTCCTCTCTTCCCTAGTCCCCAGAATAGTCCCTGTAAGTGAGGAGACACCACATTCTATGGTGTGTTGGGATTAGTAGTTCAGACTCTACTGTTTCCTACTCCTAACTGATGACTTAATAGTCTCAGTAAAAGAAGCAGCACACACATTTCTTTTCTTCAGATAGTGAATGGCTCTTCTCTTCTCCAACTTCTAGAACGACTCGGAACCTGCACAGTCACTATCATGAGGCCCCCCTGACCCGGAAGCACTATCAGGTCACTGGCTATGGCATAGTAAGTAAGACACTGGGGTTTGAGCAGGGTGTGTATAAAAAGTTGTGAGGTTTGGTTGTGAGGACACATCCTCTCCAGAATTTTAGAATGTTCTAAGAATTTGGAGGCTGCACAGAGATGAGTATTTATTTATTTATTTATTTATTTATTTATTTATTTGAGACATTGTCTCACTATGTAGTCCTGGCTGGCCTGGAAACTGCTGTGTAGACCAGGCTGGCCTCACACTTACAGAGATCCATCTGCCTCTGCCTCCCAAGTGCTGGGATGAAAGCTGTGTGCCATCATGCCTAGCTAGCACATAGACTTCTTTAGCATGCTATAACTGTTTAGCTCAGTTTGCTATGAGAAAGGCAGCCTACAAATTCTATTTTGCCTCTCTCCCTCTTCTTACAAAGTCACTGTGTACTTTATATAGTCTAATACCTATAAATGTCAGATAGGAATACTATGTGGATCTCTTAAATATCACACTGGAAGGCTGACAAGATGGCTCAATGGGTAAAGGCACTTGCCATGCAAGCTTGGTGACCTGAGTTCAACTCCTGGAACCCACATAAAGGTAGAAGGAGAAAACTAACTCTACAAGATTGCCCTTGATATCCACATGTGTACCATGGCATGTTCCTTCCCTCCCTGGTCATGCACGCATACACACAACCATAATACACTAAAATGTAGGGAGGGAGGGAGGGAGGGAGGGAGAAAGAAAACAAGCCACCAACAACCTGGGAGAACTTCTCTTTTTTGCAGATTCCAAATTCTCAATGGTTTTATTTTACAGGTTTTTCCACTGCCATACAGAGGGCTATTACCACACAGCTTTGTATTTTGCTATCTCAGGGACACACACTTAATAGAATAAGTGCTCTGTAGGGGCTTGTGTCCTGAGAGTAACTGAAGCAGAGCAGCTGGTGAAAACTGTTGAGATGTACCCATCACTCTCTCTTCTAAGGCCTTGGGGCTTTATTAAAGAGTGTGGATTCCATAAAGTGAATTCCCTCAGCCTCTTTGCATTTCCTGAGTCCACATTATACTAAAGCCAAGACTCTGAAGTCCTCATCTGTCTTCCTGAGGGCCTCCCCTGAGAAAGATTAAACACAACCACCGTAATTTCCAAGGTGCAGTATCTAGGTCAGACCCATCTTGTTTGGATGAGAGTATCCAGATGTCCAAAATAACAGACACAAATGGCCCAGATCATCTTGTTGGCTTAGAGTGAGGTTTTAGTATGATTTATGGGCAAAATTGGCTGTCTAGAACTTAACACTCTGGTCCTATATAGTTAACATTTAGACTTCTCACTTCCAGATTCATACCTTGTGTATGTATTATATATGTATATATATGTATATACACACACACACACATATATACATATACATGTATTTGAACTTTATATACAAAATCATTTGATTTCAAATAAACATTTAATGTAAAAACAAATTTCTTTTAAACTGATTTTTACATCTATTGTACCATTCAAATGCTGTATCATCTTAGATGATTTCTTAAAATCTGTTATCAAGGGTACATGTAGAAAACCTTTTTTTATAAATAGAAACAAAGGGATTTTTCAGCTTTATTATACAATGACAAAAAAATTTACTCAGCAGAACTAATTCATTACTTTCTGGGAGATAGTAATATTTTTTGTACAAACAATGCTAGTCTTTTAAGCATCAATTGCATAACTGCTTAAGAAATGACATAAGCAATGATTCTATATCTACATCTTCCCTAAAATATTCTATTTTTTACATATGTGCATAGCTTTAGCTAATTAAAGCCCAAGAGAAATGCTTAGAACCCACTACCCAGAGACCAAATGGGAGTTCAATGAACTCAGAAGGAGCGATTCCCAGCTAGGGCATCTGTACCAGACTCTGCAGTTCCCTCTTCCCTGTATTTTAAACATAAAAACCCGTAACTAAGAACTTAACACTGGATGACAAATCACATGCACACTATTTAAATAGCCTCAGTGAAAGGCTTCGTAAAGACCAGCCAAATCAGTATTTACATTTATAAATCTCTGAAGACACCATGAGAAAGCTTGTGTTCCTTCACTAAACTGCATCTGATGGCAGTGGAATGAAATTACAACATTAAAAATTCCAGTATTTATAGCCTCATCGATCCCTTATAAAAAGAGTATGAAAATAGAATACCTTTAAAAGATAATAAAAAAGTGAGATGATGTTATTCAACCACAGTGCTTGGAATTAGAATAAAACTCTATTGGTGAGAAAACGAAACAAAACAAAACAACCTATTGGTACTTATTAATACACCAGTACTGAAACCGCTTTCTCTTGGAGAAAATCCAACTGCAATATTGACTCTAATAAGATTCAAGTCATGCATTCTGACTAGATGAAGCAAAAAGTTTCAACATAAATTCTTGTTTGTTATTTTCTGTCCATAATTTCCTACAGACAGCATACAGGCATGATTCATTTGATTGCCAGCAATAAGTCCATGCTTCATGACATAGAGATTCCACAGTTTCATTACTTCTCTCTTGCCTTCATTCACATCATACCCTGACTTTTTGTAATAGGGAGTTCCCAGCAATGTCACTCTCTTGGGATACTTTGTGGCCTTCTCATTCCCTTTCCTACATCAGTCATTGAGGTTGATTTACCCTTTGAAATAAGGTGGCATTTGAAAGGGTGACCATTTTCCTTTTTAACACTTTGTCTCTAACATCATCTGACTTTGGTGATTTTTTTTTCTTGGTTTATGTGGCAGAATGGGACAGGGGACTCAAATGATTTCTGGCGGATTGAAGTTGTAAACAGAAAATTTGGGAACCGGATCAAGGTACTGAGAAGTCGAATTCGCTTCATCCATTTGGTCACAGGTTGTGTCCTGGGATCTTCAGGAAAGATTCTGCCCAGGTGGTAAGTCTCTGGGGTCCTGATATTCTAATCTAGTTTACCTTTTCACACTACAAGGGGTATACCAGAAGCTTCAATCACCCTGTGGTTAGTGCTCACTTCACTTTTACTTTTTTTTTTGGTATCAGATGGAAGGTGAGAAGGCATCAGGGATGTTATGGTGCAGAGAACTCGAGTATAGCTTCGTATTTTATGTGCTTTGATAGTTGGACATTTCTATGCCTGCCTTTAGGTTAAAACTCTAGGCCTATGTCTCTTTGCAAAGTGGAAATAATGTATGCCAAGTGTACTGTTAGGATAGTTGTGGATAGTAAAAGTGTGAGTTTGAAAGGATTATGGCCATTGACTTATAAACAGAGAAGTCCCACAGATGTAAGAACAGTAGACACTGCTACACCTGGGGGCATTCCAAGTCTTCTGGGACATTTGTGACTATTTTTCTGGCAGGGGCTGGGAGCAGTTGGAAGTAACTTGCACTCCGTACCTAAAAGAAACTGCTAACTCCATCTGGAACATAGAAGAGCATATCAATCCCAAACGTGAGTTGAGGCCATGGCTGGCTCTGAAGGAGGAAGCACACTAGATTCCTTGTTTAGGAACACAAGCCTCATAGATTCTGTGATTCCATTTTATTGCTGTCGGTTTTGCTTTCTTCTCCCATTGCTCTCTTCATAAGTGTTGTCTCTGTCTACATATAGCTCCTTTTTCTTCTTGTCTATTTCCTCCTCAAATTTCTTATTCTGAAGTGACCAGTGACCTCCTCCAAGGCCATTTCAGGCCCCCAGCTTCTGTTCCTGCACCGTAGGAGACTCCAGGCCTCCAATGATTGTTGCAGATTGGTCTAATTGCCCTGTGTCAGTTACCTCCTCTCCCTACAACTAACCAGACTCTTCACAGAAGGCCACAGCCATATTGATCCCAAATTTCTGCTTCCAGGCACCTTTGATAGTACCACTTCAGTGTTAGCTTCAACTCAAAAAGCCTTTGGGTTCATTTCCCCACCCCACTCCAGCTTGTTCTTGATTTCTCAATACTTGCCATTCCATTCTTCTTAGTACCTGCTCTAGACCAACAGTGGATTAACTAGTTGAACAATTCTTTATTATGTCAGGAACCACATGGGTCTTGTGGATATATTGGTGAATGAGACAAATTTGGTTCCTAGTCTCATACAAACAGGAGGCCAGCTGCTGGGCCAGTGCCACAATGATGGGTGATGGGGTCAAGAGCCGCTAGAACACCAAGAGAAGTACCTAGATTGCCTAATGAGTGCTTAACATCAGTGACCCTCTGCACTGCTCTCTGTCTCAAATTAGTAGGAATACTGCACTCGGGCTCTGGCAAGGGTGTGGGTACTCAGTACAAACTGTGAGAACAATGTATGACAAAGCCTTTCTCTTGTCATTTCCCCCTAGTGCCAAACATCAGCCTGGATGTTCTGCAGCCCAGTTTTTCAGAGATCTTGCTGGAGTCCCACATGGTTATGATCCGGGTACTGTGAGCCCTTCTTATTCCTTCTAAATCTAAAGCTCTTGGAGAAGCTCCTGAACACCCACAGATTTAGAGCACAGAGCAATAGCCATGGTATAGATCCATGCACCCTTGTGGAAGATGTTGAAATGTTTCCCCTACTGGTTTACTAGAACTTCATTGGCATTTCTGGTATCACAGGATGAGGCGGTGATTTGATAAGGATAGTGATAGCAATTCCTGTCATTGTAGTTTCATTTCTATTACAAGTAGACAAACACCCTGATAAAAACTTCTGTCTTAATTAGGGTTTTGTTGATGCAAAGAGACTCCATGACCATGGCAACTCTTATAAAAGAAAACATTTAATTGTTTTCCTGGCTTACAGGTTCAGAGGTTTAGTCCATTATCATCATGTTGGAAAGCATGGCAGCACACAGGCAGACATGGTGCTGGATAAGGAGCCAGAGTTCTATATCTGGATTGGCAGACAGCAGGAAGAACGAATGACACTAGGCCTGGCTTGAACATCTGAAACCTCAAAGCACTCCCAGTAACACACTTCCTCCAGCAAGACCACACCTCCTAATACTGCCACTCCCTATGAGCCTAAGGGGACCATTTTCAATTCAACCTCCCAAGCAACTTAGATAGGGGAAGATTTATTTGGCTTACATTTCCTTAGCTTACAGTCCATCACTGAGGGAAGTGAAGGGGCAGAAACTTGAAAGGCTTGCTATTTCATACAGCATTACTTCTGACCATGGAGTGCACTTCACAGTACAGGAGGAAATATAGAGCCTAGCTGGTTCACAGGCCAGCGTATACTCAGTTAGCTTTCTTAGTTACGGACCACTTGCCTAGGAATGGCACCACCCATGGTAAACTGAGCCCTCCTACATCAATTAATCAAAAATAATATCTTACAGACATACCCACAGACCAACAAGAGCTAGATAATTGGGTCAAGTCTCTCTCCCAAGGTGATTATAGGCTATAGCAAGTTGATGTTGAAGCTAACCAGCACACCAGTGAACATTTATGCAGTTCCCACTATTTTGAGCACTGTATGTATATTAACTATTTAATATTCATTACAGTCCTGTGAAGATTATTGTCATTGACACTTTACAGGAAAGGAACTGAAGCACAGAGATATTAAGGGCACCCAGCTATATGTAAAGTAGATCTAGGCTTCAAAGGTAGGCTAGTGGTTTTCAGGATCAATTTCAATCAGTGTGACACTGCTACCTGAGTGGCAGTGCTCCTGAAAGCCACACATTACATTTCATGAAATTAGAGCCAGTTAGAATGAGAAGCTGCTGTGGGTTTATTTATATATGCATCATATAACCTTAGCCATGAGCCCTTAACTGTTCCTGTTCCTGGGCTAAAGCTATTTAGCATGGCTGATTCTTGTTTAATGATTCCCAAGACTCACTGTTTGCCCCTGTTATTGTTAGTAGCTGGCATCAAAATTCTAAAGTAAGCTGAGAAAGGAAATCTTTAAATGGAGAAGACTTTTGCCCATGGATGAAATTTGCCTGTGTAAATGGGAGAGACATTGCTACATTTGATGTCTGGTAGAAGACCTCTTTCCTCTTGAGGTGGGAACCTGAGTCCTATAGGAATGATGTTCAGAACCACAGTGTCTCAGGCCACAGAGGTAGCTGTCAGCCACCTACAGAGCTTCAAGGAGCTGTGGCATTTGTTGCTGTTCTTCTCTGAGCCACTGTCAAGTAGACTTACCTGGAAGTGATTATATAAGCAGTCCTTAGAAAACATAGTTGACTTATTTCATCAGAATAAACTTTTAAAATCCAGATTTTTGTCAGTTTTGCACATTGGAAGGGATAAGTTGACATGAAACAATCTCTGGGTCACTTCTTCTCTGACTCTGTGCTTGTAACTGTCACTGTGGCCCAATGACATAGCTCTTTTGAATATGTGTCTGTCACTCAGAGTATCAGTCTGGGTCTAAGTAGAATTTTAAGACTGAAGTGACTGTAGAATTTCATTTCTTGTTTCACTAAGAGGTAGAGACAAAGAAAAGGGCGTGTAAGAGATCTCAGTTTTCCAGAATTAGAGAGAACAGAGAGACAGTGAATCCAGACTGTAGACATGCAGATATTGGTGTGTATGCTGTGTCTATCTGTGAGTTGAGACCTGAGTGGAGCAAGCTCATGGCCTGGCAAAGTGAGGTGGAATGAACCATCTAGATTTATCTTACACACACACATCCTGTTGGGTAAAGATCTGCCTCCTCATCTCCTGCATTATAGAAATGCTAGATTTCTCTAAGTTAGGTGTAGTGAATAGGATTCCTATGACCTTCTAAGGCCTGATTTTGGACTAAATTGGACTTGTTTTAAAGGATTGGTTTCCCTCATCAATTTCTCCCAGGACCAGAACAGTTCATTCTTTATTCCAAGATCCTTTTGGATAGCTATGGTAATTGTGGTGGTTTGGATAAGAATGGCCCCCATAAGCTCATATATTTGAATGCTTAGTCACCAGAGAATGGCACAATTTGAAAAGATTAGGAGGTGTGACCTTGTTGGAAACTGGGGGTAGACTTTGAGGCTTACTTTATTTATTTATTTGTTAGTTAGTTAGTTTGTTTTCAAGGTGTGATTTTTCTGTTTCATCCTGGCTGTCCTGATACTCACTCTGTAGTCCAGCCTGACCCCAAACTCAGTGATCCATCTGCCTCTGCCTCCTGAGTGCTGGGATTAAAGGTATGTGCCACCACCACCCTGCTTAATGGTTTTGAAGTTTTAAAAAAGCCCATGCCAGGCCCCGGTGTGCTCCTTCCCTCCCTTTCTTTCTGTCCATCTGTCTGTCTGCCTGCCTGCCTGCCTGCCTGTCTCTGCCTGTGGATCAAATGTAGCTCTCTGCTACTGCTGCAGTACCATGCATGCTGCCATGCTTCCCATCATGATGATAATGGACTAAACCTCTGAAACTATAAGCAAGCCCAATTAATGCTTTCTTTTGTAAGAGTTGCCTTGGTCATATTATCTTTTCACAGCAATAGAACACTAAGATACAAGTTGGTACCAAGGACTAGATTGTAACTGTAACAAACCTGACCATACTCCTTGGTGGAATGTGGACTTTAGGATTTGGGATTAGCAAAGCAGTTGAACCCTTTAAGTGGGACTTAATGTGCCGTACTAGTAGGAGAATAGAAGACAGTGATGCTGAGAGCAATGTAAATTATAATAGCCCAACTCAAGAAATTTAAGAGGGGAAAAAATATTAGTAAGTGTCCTGGAGACCATTCTTGAGGTATTTTGGCAAAAAAAAAAAAAAAAAAGTGTCTGCTTTTTGCATTTATCCTAAAAATCTGCCTGAGGGTAAATTAGAGAGTTTTGGATTGGCATTGGAAGGGATTAACACAATGTACAGTTTGAGGAGAAAAGGAGCACCAGAAATTCAGTGTTCAAGGAGATAAAAAGTTTAAAGAAAAGCCTATTGCTAAATGGAGTAAAGGGGGTGGTGACCTCAGAATAGAATTCCACCTAGCTAAACTTGATACTTGTGAAAAGGAATTAAAGGAAAGCTTAAACAGTGAAGAAAACCATCAACAACAGAAAGCTGATGCAAATGTAATTAAACAAGGGGCCAGGTTCCAGCCCCCATCAAACACAATTTGGCAGCTTCTGCCATGTGGCTCTGGCTTTAGAGTCAAGGATACAGCAAGGGGATGTGGACAGTCCCTTCATGGCTAAGGGAAGCCACTGAAGCCAGACACCTGTCAGGGGTGTCCCAGCATAGAGGTACAGAAAGGCCATGTGTGAAGATAAAGCCTAGATTGACTTGGAAACTCCAAGATGTTAGAGATACCAGAGTCATGGGATATCTGCAGAGGAAAGTACAGACAAGGCATGGAACCAGGTGGAGAGAGAGAAGTGTTGTTGAGTCAACTATTGTTGTTTGTTTTTACTCCTTACTCTTTTGGTTTTTAACTCTTTTGAGGGGCCCACCACCCAGCTCCCAAATCACACATGGAGTCTTATCATTACTTAATTTGGCCTGTTGCTAACCAGCTTTTCTTAATGTAAATTAATCCATCTACCTTTTCCCTCTGGGCCTTTTCTTTTTCTATTCCTGTATACCTTTCTTTCCTTCTTACTCCGTATCTTGCTGTGTAGCTGGATGGCTGGTCCCTGTCATCCTCTTCTTCTTCTTTTGCTTTCCCTCTTCCTCGGTTCGCCTTCTATTTATACTCTCTATCTGACAGCTCCGTCTATTCTTGCTCCTGCCTCACTATTGGACCTTCAGCTCTTTATCAGGACCATCAGCTGTTTTAGATGGGCAAAGAATCACAGCTTCACAGAGTTAAACAAATGCAGCATAAACAAAAGTCACAAACCTGAAAATAATATTTCAACCACTTCAACAAATCTGAAAGGCACTGGAGATCTGGAGAATGCTTTAACATTAGATATGCAAGTGCAGAATTTGAAGCTTGCCATGTCGAGTTTAAGACTGGCTTTGCTCTGGCATTTCCTCACTATGCCCTGTTTCCTCCCTTTAGGAACGGTAATATATGTTCTGTACCAGTGTATGTTGAAGTATGTGGTCTGCTGTTTGATTTTGATTCTACAGAGGGTTACAGTTAAAAAATCGCCTGATTGCCATGAGTCTCAGAAGAGACTTTTAACTTTCAAAGTGTTGAGACTGTAATAGACTATGGGAACTATTGAAGTTGGACTGAATGCATTTTTTTTTTTTTTTTGCATTATGATATGTCTACAAGCCTGTGGGGGCCAGAGGGGAGGATGTGGTGATTTGAAAATGAATGGCCCCCATAGGCTCATATGTTTGAGTGCTTAGTCACTAGGGAATGGCATTATTTGAAAGGATTAGGAGTTGTGGCCCTGTTTGAGGAAGAGTGTTACTGAGGATGGGCTTTGAGGTTTCAAAAGCCCATGCCAGTCCCAGGTGGGCTCCCTCTGCCCCGTGCCCCATACCTCTCGGTCTGAGGATCAGGCCATGCTTCCTGCGTGATGGTAATGGACTAAGTCTCTGAGACAGTCAGCAGCCCCCAGTTAAATGCTTTCTTTCATGAGAGTTGCTGTGGTGGCAGTATCTTTTCACAGCAGTAGGACAGTGGTTCGGGGATGTGCAGCTGGTCCTTTGGGGACACATACATACACACATACACATTCCTCCCAGTGGCACTTTCTGAGAGCAACCCATTGCCAGACTGAGACAAACTAAACTATGCTCAAGCCCTCTCTTTGTTTAATTTGTCAGGCTCCTTGGTAGCAGGTCACTAAATATGACCTTCTAGATCTTTCTTGTATAAACAAGTAGCTCTCAGTTGAGGGTAGTTTTGCCTCTCTGGTGATATCTAGCAATACATGAAGACATTTTTGGCTAGCAGAGCTGAAGAATAGGGTATGGGGCCTCTGCTGGCCTTCTAATGAGTAGATATTGGGTGCTAAGCATAGGACAGCCCCACAACAAAGCTGTCCAGCCCAAAATGTTGGTAGCAGCAAGGCTGTGAAAGCTGGCCTACACAGCAGCTCACTCCTCTTCCTAGTGTGTGCTAAGGACGAGGGTGGCTCAGGCCTGGGAGCTAGTGTCTAGGATCCTAGATCTGTTCCTTCCTGTTTTAGCTAAGGCCTGGGTTTGCTATGTGAGACAAGTCACAAGATGTTCTTAGCTGGGTTCAAGTCCTTCAGACTACATTGAGTACTGGAAATGATTTCTGTCCCCAAAAAGATATATTCTTGGAGGGGGAAAAATCTTACCTCTCACAGGTATTTGTATAGTCCATAGACCCCTATATAATGTGGCTATTCTATTAAAATATTACAGAGGGCACTTAGAAAAGTAATAATCTGAAAGGCTCTTCCTGGTGAAGGGCAGTAAAGGAAAGCCATTGAAACACTAAGCTGAGGTAACCTTTTCTGAGGCTCTGTTTGAAATCAAATACCGATTTTATCCTCCACGCACTGGTTTTAGCCTTGTGGAGCACTGTCTGAGCACTGGTCTTAGCCATGTGGGCTGCGGCTGGTAGGAGTGGAGGCAGGTGGACAGAGCTGCAAATGGGAACCTGACTGCTCTGTGCCAGGGATGAGGAGTCCCTGGGGTTTCTCTTGGCACTTGGCTAGATATCAAATCGCTATGCCTCATGTCTGTACTAGCGAATTAGATCTCTTTCTTGACTAGCTTTTCTTTGCTGGCTTCTTACAGGGAAACAATGGCCTCAAACCCAAGGACAATGAGTTCACATCCAAACCCTGGCACTGGCCTATCAATTATCAGGTAGGGCCCAAGACCTGAGCTCCTCCAGGAAATAGAGCCATGAAAGAGACCACGGAATCTGTGAAGCTGGAGTATTTGTGGCAAGGGGAAGCCTCACCTGGGGGACTGCCTAGGAAAGCAGTTCATTTGCTGCCTGATTCTGACTCTCCCTTCCTATAGAGTTCATGTAGAATGTGCATTCTGAGCCTCCTGTACAGGATGCTTGTCTATGAAGGATGTGTAATGTATATAACTTCCTTTCCCTTGAATGTTGGTGGCTGGGGATGAGCTAAGCCTTGGATCAGCAGGGTGTCCTTTGTTCCACAGGGCCTGCACTTCTCAGGGGCCAATGACACAGACCTCAGAGTCTATCTGCTTGGCAACCCTGTGAGTATTCCAGTTCTGAATGCTTAGGCCCAAGCATTTGCCTTTAGAAGCTGCTGTCTGCTCATCCCCAGCTCTTCTTTATACAGGTGGTCTGGTGGCTGAATCTGGTGAGCATTGTCCTCTACCTTCTCTCTGGGAGCACCATTGCCATCGCTCTGCAGAGAGGGGTGCAGTTGCCAGCAGAGTTGGAAGGTCAGGGTCCCCGGGCTTTCCCTGCTCTGTCTTTTCAGCTGTCTTGGGCCTGCACTCTGGGGAGAGTTTGCCTGCTCTGGGGCTCCACTTTCCTCCCCCATTACACACACTTCCTCTTCTTAGCTCTGAAATCCCATAGTCAAGTGGTACCTTACACTGGGCTCAACATTTTGCATCTTCCCAGTACCCCTGTAGCAGAATGTCATCAGCTACAGCGAGACAAAGAGCTTGTCACAGGACACGTAGCTAGTGACGATGACACTGAGGTCACACCCAGCAAACTACCTTTGGATCCTTCACTTTCATACTGTAGCCAGAGAAGTCCCTTTTTCCTCCTCTGCCCCCTTTGTCCCATGGCCCTGTCCTCTAGTGGGGATACAGAGGTAGCTCGAGGCCACCACAGTGCTTGCCTTCTTGTTATTTTAGCTGCTGGGTATAGGTAACATCTAGGTACCCCACATACCCTTCTTTCCTTGCCAGCTCCCTGGCTGAACAGTCCCAGCTCCAGACACTCCCCCACTGACCTCACTGCTGGGGAATGTCTCTGAAAACAAAGAGGTGGGAAATGGAGACAGGGAAGACAGCTGTCTGGTTGGGGGGGGGGTCTCCTGCCAGATGCCTACATCAGGCCCCTGTGGGCATTCCTGCCAAACTGGGTGCTGACCAGGGACCCTGGAGATCTACTGGCTTTTCTCTTTCTAGTTGTCATGGGATTTGGGTAATCCACATGAGGAAAGGAAGGACTAGTGAGATGATGTGACCTACTCAGGGTCACACCAAGACAGGGTAGAGCTGGGCTGGAGCCCAGGCTCTGCCTCCACTGCCTCCTCATTGGGCTGTGCTGATTGGCTGCACAGGGCTGACCAGGGTGCTGCTTCGAGGAGGCGGCCAGCTGCTGCTGGGCTGGATACTCCATTACTTCCCCTTCTTCCTGATGGGCCGGATCCTCTACTTCCACCACTACTTCCCAGCCATGCTCTTTTCTACCATGTTGACAGGTCAGCACTGCCGCCTACCTGCCCTGAGGGGATAAGGCCTTGGGAGGCCAGGTGGGAAAGGAGGATGAGGCCACCCTGAGAAACTGAGGGCAGACCTACTGTGGTGCCTCCATCCTGTGGTCTCCCCAGGGGTTGTCCTGACGGACTGGTACAGGTCTCCTATTCTCCACAGGTATCCTGTGGGATACACTACTGAGGCTCTGTGCCTGGGGCTTGGCCTCTTATCCCCTGGGTAGCAGAATACATGTGATGGGAATCCTAAGCCTGCTTCTGGCAACTGCCTACAGGTATGTATCCCCTTACATTACCCTTTAGCTTGAGCTCTGGGTACATTTGAGGATCCCTGAGGTGCTTTTAAGGTCTTCCTATAGCTGGGCCACATCCCTGGGGGTTATGAATCTGTTGGGCCCAAATGGTCCTAATGTGTAGTTGGGTAGGAACAGCAAGGGCCTTGCTCCACTTTCTCCTTGCTAGTGGTTCCTAACTTTGACATCACCCAGCATAACTAGAAGGACACCCCTTTCTAATCACAGTGGCTCCTTGCTAAAACATCAGACAGTGGGATGAGAGGGAGGATATTAATCATAGGGCTGGGAATACAGGGGTATGACTCAAAATCTCTGTAAAGAGACTGATATTTGTCAAGTCCTCCTCTCTTCCTTCTGGAAAGTCTCAGAACCCCTGTCAAGAGTCCTTAGCCATCATAGTGGGGCCTGTGACCCATGAGCACATTCCTGCTGCAAAGGTTAAATTTACCTGTTGGCAAGCACTCTGAGCCATACATCCCATACATTCTGTTAGGCCTGTTGGGGAAAGTCATTCAGCCAGTATTGTCACAGTGTACTTGGATCGCGTTAGGAGATGGGTGGATGGATGGATGGATGGATGGATGGATGGATGGATGGATGGACAGACAGATTGGGTTATGTTGTGTGATAGGTTCCAGCAGGGGGAGTTGCAGTTAGAACTTCTCAGTGACGTTCTGAGATGCTGACTACCTTTCTCTCATTTTCATAGCAGATTGGGTTATGTTGTGTGATAGGTTCCAGCAGGGGGAGTTGCAGTTAGAACTTCTCAGTGACGTTCTGAGATGCTGACTACCTTTCTCTCATTTTCATAGCTTCTACCTCTTCCACCCTCTGGCTTATGGGATGGTTGGTCCCCTAGCCCAGGAATCTGAGAGTCCAATGGCAGGACTAAGGTGGCTAGAATCATGGGAATTTTGAGGCCACTGCCAGGACCCCAGCCTGGATCCAGGTATTGTCCAGGGACACCCAGCTATGGAGCCAGATCCTGGGCCCTTCCAACTCCAGGGGAGCTGCCTGAGGAGCCTACAGCATTCTGCTACCCTCAGGACCAAACTCTGGGAAACAGACCTGGATTTAATACTAAAAGGAGCCACAGCCCTGTCTGCAGCACCTACACAGGACACTTTACCTACAGCACCACTTGGTGCCAGTTCCCTCCTGTGCAACACAAGGAAAGCGGGCGTGAGTGTGGGAGGGTGCATATGTTTAATCCCCTTGGAGTGTAGACCATCTAACTGGAGTGAAGTGTCTTAAATTCCAAGAAATGGTCCAAGGTTAACAGGATATTCTCTGGCATCTTTTTACATTGAATGTGGTTTCATTGGGGTTTATAAGGTCCATAAGAAATTCTTGGATCTCCAGGAGGGCTGAGTGCTGCCCCACCCCTCACAGTGTTACAAAGAAAGGCACAGCAGGTGGGACCACCAAAACTCTCCTCCCCTCCCACACTGGGGCGCTGGCCCTCTGCTATACCATAAGTCTTCTGTGGATACAGTGTTGCCCATGGTATGTACCTGGCACAAGCTGGCAGAGAAGTTGCCAGTCTGTGTTTGGCCTTCCTTGGGTTTTTAGTTCCCTGTTCTCTGAACTGGGTGGGTGGAACCCACCTCTTGGCTGCTATGTGCCCAGAGTCTGTTTCTCCCCCTTTCTCTGCAGCTGCCTGGCTCTGAGGACTAAGCCCTGCTGGCTGATAGAGCCAACAGCCGAGTCAGAGCAGAGATCTGTGGGGCTGAGCATCTACTGGGATGTGGGGTAAGGGACACTCAGCCTGTCTGGGCTGAGGTTCCTGCATGGCATTCCTGTTTTCACACTTCAGCCCTCCCTGCCATACCTTCTTTTGCCTCGTTGTCTTTGCTTCCCTTCTGACACTGCCTTATCAAGTCTTTTCCCCCAAAGACCAGAGCACCTGAAAAACAGCTTCTAGTGCCCACCACTTTCAGCCCAGAGCTGTTCTTCCATTTCCTTGCCCAAAGGGAGAAAGAAAATTTGGTCAGAACTAAAGCAACCCAAGACCAGTCCTTTAGTCTGCCTTCTTCCTTTCAGTTCAGAACAAAGTAATTATTTGATCCCAGAAGATTTTGATATTTCAAGGTTTAATGATGAATTTGCCACACTCCATCTTCTCAACAACTCTGACAGGGTCAGAGCTCTTTAAAGCATCTTCAGGAGGTGGTTGCCACGGAGACTGGAAATTGGTCTCAGGGACAGGCTGTGCTACCTGCAGAGTGGTGGAGAGGGAAGCTTCTGGACCCTGCTTGGACATTCAGCTGGAGCATCATTAATGTTAATAGAGGAAATGCAGCCCTGTCAAGAGCAAGGCAAGGTAGCTAATTAGATCTGAGGCCCACTGACCATCCTCTCCCATGGCTGCACTCTTTTGACTCCTCTCCTCCCCCCAGCAGGAAGTGCGGCTTGTGTGTGGAGTCTGAGCTGCCTGCCTAATTGCATTTCTGGCAGGGACTGCGGAGCTCTGCTCCCATTACCCTCCCCAACCTTTGCCTGCAGCACCAGGCAGAGCTTGTTCTGAGCCCAGTGGGGTACCATCTGGGTAGATTTTCCTGAGAGGGGATGCAGGAATCTGTGCTTGGCTCTTAACAAGGAGACCCATGGGGGTATTGGACAGGTGGCTGAATTTTCTTGTGTCTTATTTCTGGAGGCACTTATTAGAGGGAGCCCTGAAGTAACCAGGGGGTAGGAGAGCTCAGTGGGCTCCAGCATGCCCCTCCCCCTAATGTCACACTGAGGACAGAAGGCTTCTCTTGTTTCCAAGTGTGGGAAGAAGGGTGTTCCCCATCTACTCCCTCTTCTTCCATACCCAAACTGGCAGATGCTTATATGGGGAAAAGGCCACGTGGTGACATCACTGAATACTTGGATTCTATTTGGAAGATGGAGGGGCGGTGGGCTCTAGGGTGCTGCTTTGCATGTGGCCTGCAGCCCTCAGGAAGAGGCTGGCAGAGATGTGGTACATCTAAGGCTGCTGGCAAGGAAGAAGGTGTGCCAAGCAGCCTAACCCAGGCACCGTCTCAAACTACCACACTTTGTTCTTTCTTTTTTTCTTTTTTAAGTTTCCAGAGATAATCAGAGACCATTAATTTTGTAATAAATAGCTCTTGTTTTCAACACTAATTGTTCTTGTGCTTAATTGGATCTGACTTGCCCGTGAGAAAAATGTTTAAATGGCCAGAACCAACACGGTATCTCATGGCTGGGACCATTCTCATTCCAGCCGAGGCTCTGGGGAATGCCAAGGGAATGTGAGCCTTCCTGAGTACTTGCTTACTTGAGAGACAGTGGCTGTTGTTTCCATCACTGAAGCTAAGACCAGTAAGAAGCTGAGCCTTCTTTTTCTTGTTTAACTTCCCCAGACAGTATAGAAAGAAACAGGGCAACCATTTCCCCCTAATTCTGAGACAGCTATGTGTGTGACCCAGTGTGATGGCAAATTCCTATTCCAGTCAACAGAGGGCCCCATCCTGACATGGTCTTCTGTTGAAAATGCAAGCCATAAAGGATCCACCTTGCCCTGCAGGGCATGGTGCTGAAAACCTGACTGGGATGATGCAGAAATGAGGAAATAGCAGACACAGAAAAGCTGGAACTCATGAGTTTTGGTGGAGATGAACCAGCTACTTGCCTGGACCCTCAGTGTGTTCATACACAGCACGGGGAGGAGCTAGCTGGTCTCAGTCGGAGGTCTCTACCTGCTGGAAGAGACACCCTGAAGGAAGAATCTGGGGCCCAGCCTTGTGTAGACTCTGTCAACATTCCCACAGGCACCAGAGGAAGGCCTTTCCAATCCCCATGGGTCTGAGGCATTGAGGTCTTTTTGATAATACACATTCACTCAGGCCTTCATCTGCTCTTTATGTTCATTCATTGAGGGCTTCCTCCATTCTCTACAGAATATACAGAAGGTGACAGCTGACAATATTGGATTGAAGGTCAGGGCCAAGGGGATTAGTGCCTCTATGAGATCAGGTGTCTTCTGGACTACCTTGCAGTCCCCCTAAGGACTGTAAGGCAAGAGGCAGGCTGGTGAGAAAGATGGGTCATTCCCATCACTCAGGGTGACATCTGGAAGATGCCAGGGATGGGCAAATCAGAAGGGGACCAAATTCTCTGTGAGGGGCAATAGCTTAGTAAACATCTGGCTTTTGATTTTTGTTTTGTTTTTTGAGGCAGGGTTTCTCTGTGCAGCCCTGATTGTCCTGGAACTTGCTCCATAGACCAGGCTGACCTAGAATTTAGGGGTCAGCCTGCCTCAGTCTCCAGAGCACTGGGATTAAAGGCATGTGCCACCTGAGAGCCAGTTAACATCATTTTAATACATGTGACTTAGTCCTCCCAAAGACCCAGGGAAGCCACTGTTCTAGTTTCCATTGTACCCATGAGAAGTTATATTACTTACCTAAGGATCCACAGTTAGAATATCACGAGGCAGGACTTGGTGAAAGGGTGGTCTTTGGAGTTTCTCCAGCCCCAGCCAGTTCTGGGCTGGAAGTACCTGCCTGCAGCACCCTCGTGGCCCTGGACATTGGGATGAGGCTAGGCACAGCTGGGGGCAGGGGTTGTAGTTCAGCCTGATATTTTGTATGTTCTGTATAATGTACAGCTAAGACCAAGGGTTATTGGCTTCCCCCAGGGTTACCCAGACCAGTGGAGGTAACTATTTCATAGCAGTTTTCCCAAGGGGGCAAAACTAAGCCCTAGTTTATAGCATTTGCCATTTTCTGTGGTGCAAACACTTCCTCTGTGGCCAGTTCAAGGTACTGACTTGATGCCAGTGACTGAGGAGCTGGGAAGAGGTGCATAGTTAGCTCTAAGGCTGTATGAGCTAGCCCAGCACACTGACTCAGACCCAGTAACCTTGGCTCCGTCTGAATTATGGACATGGCTCTTGGTTGTGGTCTATTAATTTGAGGGAGGCAGTGGGGAGAGTGAGCCAGATGGTCAGAACTGAGGTCAAACTCTGGCCCTTCCATTTTGTTAACTGTGACTGGGCCAGCTAACTTCCTTGCCTCCCATTTCCTTAACTGTAAGGTGCTATGATAAACAGCATCTCCTTCACAGGGCTGTTAGGAGGGTACAGCTAATGGGCACAGTGTCTGAACACATACCCGGTCTGCTGGCTCTCTGAGGACATTAATGACACATTGACAACCCCGACTGGAGAACACTTGAACTGTCCTAGATTGTGACCTGGATATCCCACAGGGAGGAGAGGTGCTCTCTAGCCCCTCGATGCAGAATTCAGACCATCTGTGGTGGAGATACCTCTCCATGGCTTCTTAGGCTATGGCAGATGCTGGGGCCTCTCCCCAAGGGGAGCACACTTAGTCCTCTGTCACCTCTGGCTCCAGGATGACAAAGAATAGCTTTGGGTTTGGGTGCTGTTTCCTCTCATGAACTCTTCAGACTTCAGATGCAGTTGAGAGAAGAGACAACAAGGGTCCCGAGTGAGGACTTCCAGGAAGTCCAAGCTGGGTGCAGTGGAGGGTGTAGACAGGATAGATGGATTGCAGAAAACACTGTCCCTTTGTGCTCTTGCTCAGAGTCTCCTGAACTCGTTAGGACATGGGCTTTTTGCCAGGCTGCCCTACAGCCTTGCTGTCCCGCTCCAGTTCCAGGGACCCAGAGATAAACAGAGATGGAGAAGAGTGGAATAGGTTGTGCCCAAATGTCAATCTTAGGAGCTTGGTTGGATCAGGAGAGAAGGGCCCCTTTTAGAAGGCATGGGACTGAGCACAACTAGCACAGGATTGCCCATGGGGCTACAGTCTGTTGATAACCCAAGACCAAGGACACTGATTTATATCCATGCAACAAAAAACTCTGAAGACCTTGCTGCCCAAACCCTTACAGCACATCTGAGGATGCAGTTAGAGTCAACAGTAAAAGATAAAGGGAGGGTGCTCTCCAATACCTGAACCAGTGAAACTGGGCTGGGGTCAAAGAACTTCCATGCTTGAAAGAGAACAACATTGCTAACTGACAGGTGGCCAGCAGCACTCTGATGGCAAGCACAGGACTTAGCTTAGCCACTTTTAGAAAAGAGTATTGATTTATGTGTCTTTCTCAGGCACCCCAACTAATTGTTTGAGATAGTCTCTTACTGAACCTGGAGCTCACTGAACTGGCTAGCTAGCTCCAGAAACTCTGGTTTTCCACCTTCTCAGTGCTAGTATTACAGTCACCTGGCCTCTCCCTCCTACCTCCCTCTTTTTTTTTCTTTCCTTTGAGACAGTGTCTCTCTACATAGCCCTGACTGCCCTAAAACTCATTATGTAGACCAGACTGGCCTCCAAGTCACAGAGATCCACATGATTCTGCCTCCCCACTGCTGGGATTAAAGCTATGAACCATCATTTTCATTTTGTTTTTAATCTGAGTGCTGGGGTTCAAACCCAAAGATGCCCCCTGAACCATCTTCCAAGCCCTTGGTTTTGGAGGGTTTGGGGGTTTGTTCATGTGTTTTGGGTTTTTTGTCATGAGTTTCAGTAGATCGTGGAATGACAGACTATGACTTTAACTCCGTGCATTTCCAGTTATTCCCGAGAGGGATTCCATTCTTGGCTTGAGATAGTTATGACTTGGCTCTGTTCCTTAAACTGAGAGCCTTTGTAGGCCCAAAGTTGTTCAGGTGCCCCAGTCAGACCCAGGGCTTGAGCAGAGGACAGACAGACAGACCAATTTGGTGACCTGGGTCCAGCTAGCTGAACTCGGGGATTGTGAGCACAGACCATGAGCCCAGGAGAAGGCAAGCCCAAGAGATTTCCAGTGGGGAGGTGGAACTCACCTTGAACACTGGGCCTCCGGCCTCTTCCCTCAGAAACAGGATTATTTATTATTGAAGGGGAGTGAGGCAATCTATGTAGCCCAGGCTGGTTTCACCCTCTCTGTCTTCCTGCTCCAGTCTGTCTCTCAACACTAAGGTTGCATGCACATGCCACTAGGCCAGCAAAGTAGTAGCATTGCTAGCTTTCAAGAGTGAAACAAGCCCAGAGGCTGAACAATTTCTCTTAGGCTCTGAAGCCTGGACAATTCCCAGGCCTCGGGTCGTCCCTGCCTAAGGCGGGTACAGAGGGAGCGCTAAGCCTAGGGGGTGGGAACCACCGTAGCTTTAAAGGGCGGTTCTCTGGGAGCTTCGGGGCACAGGGCGCAGCTGCCCGAGCGGGGTCCCCGGAAGCGGCAGTGGGTGCGCATCCTTTCGGCTGGACCAGCGAAGGAGCGATTGTTGGCCCCCTCCCGACCAAGGCACTGGGCCTGGAACTCCCCCACCACCACCCCGCGTCGCCAGCACGGAGATGGCGCTGCACGTGAGGTGATTGCGCCCAAGCCCCGAGGGTCCCATCCCGGTTTCCCGCATCTCTCCGGAGAGATCATGGAGCTCCCAGAGCCCGAGCTGATCCGGCAGAGCTGGCAGGCGGTGAGCCGCAGCCCTCTGGAACATGGCACTGTCCTGTTCTCCAGGTGAGTGCTACCGGGCACGAGTGGAGGGGTGCCTGGCAGCAGTGGGCTTGAGATTGCTGGGCTTGTCGCCAGAGGAAGAGAAACGGGCCCGCTTGCAGTGGTGCTCCCGGGAGAGAGGGGTGTGTGTGTAGCGACAGGTGGTGCTGTCCCATCTGCTCTTCCCAGATAGCGGCTCCCACCCGAACTGATTGGGGGCCGGTGGGGTTCCTCACCCGCACCCACAGAGCAGGCGGGTAGATGCAGTGCTCCCTGCTCTACTCTGTGATATCTTAATGGGGAGTGACTGCAGGACTGCCCACAGGGGCCGGGCCAGTAGGAGGAGATGAGCCCCCGAAGGCCAGCTGGGGTGTGCAGGCACCTAGATCCGTGGGATGGACTCCCGTGCCCACCCATCCACCTTCGAGTAGGAGGCCACATCGTCCTGTCCCAGGAGAGCTCACACCCAGCCACCAGCAAGATGAACCCTTCTGAGGACAACACAGGCTTAGGACCAGAGGTGCTCCAGGAGAGGGGCGATAGGCGTCCAGTCTCACCACCAGTAAGAGAGGGAGAAGGAACAGGCCTAACAGGAGGAGAACGGCTGGTTTTAAGCCATCACCAAAGAGCCGCACTCCCCCTCTCATCGCAGATCCCTAGGCCAGTCCAAAACTTCGGAGCAAGACTTTTTGGCAAAACCTCTCCAAGATGGAAGGGGAATAAATTAATTTACACAAAAGAGTTACACAAAAATGCAAGCTCTTCCCAGTGAGGCTGACATTTTCTGGTTGGGCCAACTGTATTTTTTTTCAAACTCCCCCTCCCATCTTGCCCCCAACTCCCCTCCACCACCACCACCACACACACTCTGGTGCCCACTGTGGCTTTACTGTGTAACTTAGGCAGCTTGCTTAGACTCTCTGAGCTTCTGTTTTCTCTTCTGAACCCACTGCTTAAAAGTATGAGGGACACACAACCACAGTTAACTGACAAATGCTTAAAGCTCAGTAGTACATAGAGTGTGTACATGGCATCACCCATACAAGCCTCAGATCTGAGGGCATTGGGGAATTTTGATCCAAAAGGGAAATTTCCCCCTAGATTTTGGTTTGAGATTCCTGCCTGTCCCAAACCCAGCCCCTCAGTTGTTTAGGGAGGAGCTACCATCTGCCAGGTAATGAGAGAGGCTGGGGACAAGTGTCCTCTGGAGGGGACGTTGACTAAGCTGGCAGGGCCCAGTTAGGAATGTACCGTGGCTTTCTTCTGAGCAGTCAGGTTCTGCTGGGTCGATGCTCAGTGCTGATGACCGCTGCTCCCAACCCACAGGCTCTTCACCCTGGAACCCAGCCTGCTGCCTCTCTTCCAGTACAATGGCCGCCAGTTCTCCAGCCCTGAGGACTGTCTCTCCTCCCCAGAATTCCTGGACCACATTAGGAAGGTGAGGGAGGCAGAGCTATGAGGGCTCAGATCTGTAGAACATTGTCTTGGTTGGGAAGAAAGGACTTGATATAGGAAGCAGCTTACACACACACACACACACACACACACACACGCACGCACGCACGCACGCACGCACGCACGCACGCACGCACGCACGCACGCACGCACACACACACACACACACACACACACACCATTCCCGCCTCGCTGGATTGGACCCAACCCTGTCCTCAAGCCAGCTGGACCCAGCCTGGTACATAGCTCTCAGTCTTGTCCTCTGGCTCCCGTGGCTTGTATGGGTGGATCTTGACCACTGGGAACTACCTGCCTATGAAAACTAGGCTGGGCTCATGATCTCCACAACACCTCAGTCTATTCTTGTCCCATGCAGGCAGTATTGTTCTACAGGTATGTCACAGGTTCTGAGATCCTCAAAAGAGAAGGGCTTCATGGGTGGAATTTCGGTAGTCCGAGCCACCACATACTGAGCGCCTACTGTATACAGACATTGGCTGCCTACCACATTTGATTCTGGACAACAGCATTCTAAAAGCCTCCTTGGTTGAGTAGCCTAGGTCCTAGGCTGTGGTGGTAAGCAGGTAGGTTTGTGCTGGACTCTCTGTGTCCTTGACAGGTGATGCTGGTAATTGATGCTGCAGTGACCAACGTGGAGGACCTGTCTTCACTGGAGGAGTACCTGGCCGGCTTGGGCAGGAAGCACCGGGCCGTGGGAGTGAGGCTCAGTTCCTTCTCGGTGGGTAGTGAGGTACTTTCTTGCCCCAGAGCTCCAGAGCTACGGCCACCACTCTCTCCCAGCCCCCCCCCCCCAATTAAAGCCTTTCACTGCTTCCCTCCACACCTCCAGTTCCTCAGACAACCAGAAATAACGGCCTGCTCTAGTTACTTGCCTGCACGTGACTAACACAGACCTGACCTCTCAGAGCCTCCGAGTTCTCTTTAATACAGCTTAACAACTATGAAGGCTTAACAACTATGATGCCAAGCGGCCCTTGGCATCAGTTAATTTGATCACCTGCCTACAGGTGTCAAACCATCTTGAAAGACCTCCCTTAAAGCAATTTCTGAGTTCTTGTGGCTAGACTTGATTCTTTCTCTGGAGTCTGGTTGGAGCTGTCTGTGTGGAGTCCACTGGGGCTAGGATGTCTAAGGCGACCTGTGAGCGTTTAAACCTTCCTCATGCTAGTTAAGTCTCAGCAAGGAAGGACTGCTACCAGGAAACAAAGCCCCAGCGGACAAGAGCTTATAAAACCTCTGCTGGCACCACTGTCACTAACGTCCCACTGGCCAGGACCAGTCACAAGGGATGGTCTTGATTGCCTCTCCATGTGGGCATTTTCACAGTTCCTGGTCCTTTGGGAATAGTCAATAATACATGAGGGATCAATAAACCTCATTTCACAATACATGAGGGATCAATAAACCTCATTTCACTTGATGAATAATAAGGCATACTGTGTGCAGCTGCTGCACTAAGAGGTTTTTGTTTTGTTTTGTTTTTAATAGAACCTGGGTTTTTGTCTTCCATTTTACTCACGAAGCAGTTGAGGTTCACGGGGTAGGGTAGACTGCTCTGGGTCATCCAGGCCGGGAGTGTTGGCCAGAATCTGAACTCACACCTACCTGGCTGCACAGTGTAGGCTTCTTAATCTCACTGCTACCTTGCAGGTGGGGAAAGCGTGGTCTGCAGGAACTGACTTGGTTGGGTCTGAGCGGACAGTTTACGGGCCAGGCATAGGCCCCTCTCATGTGGTGGTTGCAAAGACAGGAGTGGGGTGAAATGCTTTAGCCACTGTTTGAGGGAAAGGTGGGCATAGGGTGACACTCATGGTTACATGCAGGGCCTGCTTAAGAAGCATGAAGCCTGTGTGGGAGAGAAGAAAAGCCTGTGTACCCTTACTGGCCCAGGACCTCAGCTTTCTCACTTGGAAATGGAGTGATGCCTTCCTGCCTTCAGATGACCAAATACCGCTTGCTTCTGCAGACCGTGGGCGAGTCGCTGCTCTACATGCTGGAGAATTGCCTGGGTCCTGACTTCACACCAGCCACAAAGGCTGCCTGGAGCCAACTCTACGGAGCTGTGGTGCAAGCCATGAGCCGAGACTGGGATAGGGAGTAAGCAAAGAGCCAATGCCCTCACCTAGCTCTGTCTGTCTGTTGATCTGTCTATAGTAGCCTCAGCCCCTCCCCCAGGGCTGCCCTGTACCTTGGACCTCATCCCCTTGGCCATCCTAGAGAGGTGATGGGAGAGGGCTCTGTCTCAGCTTCTGGTCAACTGCAGAGAGGTGGTTTTTCCTTCCAGAGGAGACTTTGGGCTCCTCTCATCCCCATAGATGCCCCCCCCTGGTTAGCTCTCCCCATGAAGCAAAATAAAGCGTTTGGGCATGGGGGTTCTTCTCAGAGAAGCCTCAGCCAAGGTGAGGGTAAAGTGACTAAGCTTCTAGAGCCTCCCATCTCATCTCCTCAGACTCTCTGATGCTTTCCTGCCAGGCTGTTTACTTTCCAAAACTGAAGAGAAGGAGCAGCTTTAGTGTATCTGGGGACCTCAGGCAATGGGAACAGGGAAGATGGTGTTCTTCAGTGGCAATGGGCACCCTGGGTCTCAGCGGCTCAGATGTCCCATACAAAACTCCCTATGATCTTGGTTCAGCATTTCTGGTAGAAGCACACCAGTATTTTTTGTAGGAGGGGCAGGGAAACCAAGCTGGCCAGCCAGAATGGAGAGACTAGTAGGGCAAGGAGGAGTGACCTCATCCCACATGGCCCTGAGTTGTGGGGCTCTTCCTGACACCCTAGTCTAGCAGGGCTGAATCATGTCTCCCTGCTCTCTGATGCACACTCACCGCCCTCCAGCTGCTGGCTGCTAACCTGTGCCCGGGCAGGTGAGTGGGAGAAGATACAGTGGGAAAGGCCCTTGCTCTTGTCCCCAGCCACCCTCCCTTTCTTGCTCTGTGTTGCAGTTCTATAAGCTCACAAGAAATAAACATTTTCTGTGTGCTGACCCTCCAAGGCTGGTCTCTTTGTGGGCCTTGACCTGCGCCAGATGAAGCTCAGAACAGGATCAGGGGACAGGGTCAGCAGAGCCAAGGCCTGAGTGGTTGGAAAAGGAGAGGTCTGGAAAGGAAGGCCTGAGGCAATGGTGGTGGAGGAGAAACTGTGGGTCTTGGGTCCTGACTGGCTGTGAGGCCACCAAATCCAGTTCTTTTCTCTGGGCACACACTTGGACCAGCTTCCCTGGAGCAGGTGGGGCAGGGGGCAGTTCTAACAGTCTGTGTGGATATTGGGAGCACTTCCACACATGCCGTGCCCATCTTCAGATGTCCACATGTTCCCCAGGCTCAGTCATCCACCAGCCTAAAGCAGAGTTCACAGTGACCTTGAAGGTCACATGCTGAACACAAGCCGTCCCTCGGTTGCTGCTTAGAGAAGGTACCCACCACCAGCATTACTCATTTAAAACTTAATTTGACAGTGATATAAGCTTGTATTTGTGCTTGGGGCTGGTCAGTGCTGTAGTTTGAATCCGAAAGGAATAATTTGTCACAACTATTTTGAAGGCTGTGGGACCTTGAGAAGGTGGGATGTGGTTGATCACAGTGGCTCCAAGGGAGCTTTGAAGGTGCATGCCTGATCCCTGGTTCGGTTCCCACCCTTCGTGGTCTGCCAGGATGTGCAGAAGCACCATCATGCATACCCAATGCCATGAACTCTACAATGTCCTCCTGCCAGGATGGTCTGAGATCCTCTAAAATCACCAGATGGAATTAATATTTCCTCCTATGTTGTTTCTGTCAAGCATTTTGTCAGAGTACCATAACTATAAATAATAGTCACACAAGACACACGGCATACTTATTCCAAGGGTCTGGTGTGTGGGACCCCACACGCAGGCAAGTGGCTATGGATACAGCCTGGAACATGATGGAAGAGCACAGCATGAAAAGTGCCATCATGTGAGCAGGTCAATTAGTTCCCCCCCCCATAGGCTCCAGGACTCTGGAAGTGGGCCTGCAGCTGGCCTGGGAACAGAGACTGTCTTGGGGCAGCTGTCCTGTCTTGGTGCTTCTTCGTTTCAGTAGAGATGGGGGGCAGCTGGTGCCTGGGGGGTTGCATGCTGTCAGCTGGGCAGTCTTTTCTGTTCAGCCCAGATGGCAGGGCTTGGGGGCAGTGGGGCTGCAGACACTGATCAATATTGATCAGTAGCCTGCCGGAAATGCTGTCCCCACTGCTGCATGGGAAGCATTTCCTCCAGCCCCGCAGACTGCCATGGGACAGGATCTTGTCCCCTCCCAACCTGTCCTCCCCCATATGACCTAATGACAGTTATGACTCCGTTATCTGTGCTGGCCTAATGTTCCCAAGTGTTTGATGCCCACTCAGGTGACCAGGATGACCTGGCTTAGCAAAAGTCAAACACCCTTCTGTGTTGTGGGATGTTTGATCACACTGGGAAACTCCGAGACTGTGTTAATAAAACTAACTTTGGATCAGGGGGCAGAGCCAGCTACTAGTTGACAGGAATTAGAGATAGAGAGGATAGAGGAGCCAGGGATATTGATAGGGAGATGCACAGAAAGGAGTTGGAAGAGACTTAGAGATTCAAGGTCTTTTTGGTTTGGGACGAGTGGAGAGATGCTTCTCTGGCTGCGTCTCCAGCCAAAGGAAGGTCAGCATATTGCTTCTTGGCCCCTCTGAGCTAGCAGGTTTTCACTCCAAGTCTTCATTGGTGAATAGAACATTAGAGACTTAGTTAAAACCTACGTTTGGCGGCCATGGCTGAGCTGGTGCCGGTGGGACTAAGAATCCCTCCAAAGCCTTGGTCTGAGTAACAGGGTGCTGGCTGCGGAGCCATGGAGCACAGGCAGTAGTGAAACTATCAGTAGATTCAGGTGTAGCCACTAAGTCGATGGAAAAACAGCACTTCTCTGACCTATGTCTTGAGCCACCATCCATGGGTGCTTGACCTCAAATACACCACCATTCCATGTGTGTGTGTCTGTGAAAGGACTATGCCTCTTCCCTCTTCTCCAGCTCCCACCCTTTAGTTCCTTGGTTAGCAAAATTCTTCAAAAGAGTAGCCTTCTGGCTACGATGGTAGAGAATGGGAGCCTACCACAGTCAGATTTTGTCTCCACTCCCTGTTCTGATTGAAGCTGCCAGTGACTTCTGTCTTGCCCAATTCAGGGGTCATGTCTTGGTCTTTCACTAGCTGTTCTGCTCAGCAGCACTTAGAGTTGACCACTCCTTAATATTTAAACTTCTTATGGAAAAAAGCTAGCAGCTGCAAAACCCAGGAGTACCAAACCCACATGTACCCCATCTAGGGTCACCTCAAGGTCTCCCTTTCCCTGCTCTCTCTTTACTAAAGAGTTTTGGTTTGGTTTGGTTTTCTCAATATAACAGTCCTGGCTGTCCTGGAACTCACTCTGTAGACCAGGCTGGCCTCAAACTCACAGAGATCCGCCTGCCTCTGCCTTCCGAGTGCTGGGATCAAAGGTGTGCACCACCACCGCTCAGCTGCTCGAGTTCCTAAGGCAAGGCTCTGTGTCCTTTGCCTGCTGATCTTTCTTATGTATTTCTAGGTACTCTCTTCACACCTGAGCTAATGGATACCACAGCATCACTTCATCCCTGTCTGTATTCCAGTTCCCCTAATAATCTCAGAATCATCTTTTTTTATCTGGTCCATGCTTTGCATTTGGTTAAGTCTTTCAAGTCTTCCCCTCTACACCAGCTCCCCCCACACACACACACCTCCGGCTTCCTAGTTTCAAGGGAGAAAGCAGTATGACCTCTACTTGGCTGGTGTTTCATGGTTCTCTGTCATAATTCTGTCATGAGTGGTGAGCCCTGAGGCTCCCTCCTTCCTCACTGAACCTCTCCTGGTTCTTCAGGTCCTCATTGTAGCACCTTGCAGATTCTTCTCTCCTCCTTGTGTTGGCTCAACTTCCAGGCTTCCTCCTCACCTGTGTTTGCTCCCTTCACAGTCTTGGCCAGTGTCTTGCTTAAACATCATCCTAACTGACCCTGGGCCCCAGCCTAGCTTCCTTACCCAGCCAGTGGTGTCTCTAATGTAGTGTGATCAGAGGCAACATGCCCCAGACATCCCCTTCCCAGCCTTCTTTGTTTCCTGTATTATTACCACTGAGTTGTTCTGGCTAAGATCTTAGAGTTGCCCTGGCTTCTGGATTTCTCTCTGACCCACTTCTCTCCACACAGGACTCTTCAACCCTTGTGATGGCATATGACACCACTGTTGTTATCATCCCATGCCACAGAGTCCCAGTTGGAATGTCTGCTCCCTGCTGGTCTCAGTATATGAGAGTGTCCTTGGTTCCTGGGGCTTGGAGAGGGAAGGAGGAAGGCATGTTCAGGGTGTACAGAGGCCCCCAACTTGTGAGGTGAAAAGTTGTGAAGGTGGCTAGTAGTGATGATTTTACATCATAACAAATATTTAACAGTGTTTAACTGTGTACTTAAAAATGACTAAGATAGCAGGGAATGTGGAACACACCTATAATTCCTAGAGCTTGGAAGACTGAAGAGTTTGTGAAACCCACCTGGACTCAATTTAAAAAAATGTGTGTATCTTATAATCTGAAAAAAATGAAAATTACATAAGACAATCATGCCACCCTTCTGCTAGGATTCCCCTGGTAGCTCCCCACATCACCAGAGGAAAGTCTGGAGTCCTAATGGAGACCCACCAGGCCCTACTGCCATCTCAGAACCTGCCTTGGCCCTCTTCTCACTCACTCTGCTTCAACCATGCTGCCTCCTTTCTACCCTCTGAGTCCTGTGCTGTTCCCTGTAGACCCCCTACTCTTCCTGCGGCCTGTCCCCAGGAGCTCATTCTGAATCATGCAGAAATGCCTTCCTGCCTCCAGTCACTCCCTTCTCTCATCGTGTTCTGTTCTTTCTTCAAAGTACTTATCCCTGCCTGGCATCCTATTATGTAACCGGTTTGTTTATTGAGCTTGGAACCTTCTATTGCCTAGGAATGGGCAGGCTGTCATGAAAACCACTCTGGGCTATGTTTAGAGGAGAGAGAAGAGGCAATTCCTTAAACAGTTGCTGAAGTTGACAAAGTAGAAGGGACCCTGAGGTCTAGGATGTGGCTCTCGGAACCAAATAACAGTCATATTTATTGTAGAGTAAGAGCTGTATGACAGGATTTGTGCCCATCGCTTATTCTAGCCTGGGCTGATGAGAGTGAAGTCTATAAGAGTGTGTGGGGACTGAGGAGGGAATTGCTTTCCTCTGTGCCTGCTACACTCAGCTGGGCATTTCTGTAACAGAGGTGACCAGGTCCATCAAGGAGACTCCCACTTGGCACTGGGCCAGAGGCTTGGATGATGCTGGACTGCTGCTTGTCAAGGCCCAGGGGCTGGCAGAAGTTCAGAGTCAGTTTCTGCTGGGCAGAGCTGGGAGCTTGTCTTCTTGGAAGCCCAGCTCTCTCATGTCACAAGGCCCCCCACAGAGCGACCTAGAAGCCTGCAGCTGGACCAGCAAGGCTGTTCCTCAGGACAGTCCTAAGCTGCCTTTAGAGACACAGCAGTGGCAGAGTGGCCAAGAGCTTCCTCTACCCGTTCTATGTTTGAAGGCCTCCAGGCAGAGTTGCAAGGAGCCTCAGGCCTTCCTACTCTTCCCAGGCTGGTGATGCCCAGCGTGGCACTGGGTTGGGTGTTACACTGCCTTGTGGACACAGCCCAGTGGCTGGCATGCTAGGCCTTCCTGGCACCAAGCCTCACTCTTGCCTTGTTCTTAGTCCCACTCCCAGTCAGGTATATCCACCTTGTAGGCCCCCAGTCCTCCTTGCCTGCTAAGTAAGGAGATCCACCCCACCCCTCTGAGTACACCCCCACTTTGGGTCACAGAGCATTGTCCTCCAGCCTTTCTTCTGGTCTTTTTTGTGTCCATCTGACCAATATCCCCTGAAAGGGTGGTAGAATCAAGGAATGGCCCAATGTCTACAAGCTGGAGGCTTGTAGTGTCCAACAAGAGACCCCTGAGAGATGGCTGGCATAATAGTTCATGGGTTGTAGGCCCCTCTCTTGTAGCAGTTCTTGTAGCCTGCTAAGCAGTCATCAGGCCCTTCCCCTTTTGCCTTCTCAATACCATTCTCTCCCGAAGCAGCCTTGTAAGACATGTAAACACCTATTTCAAGGGGAGAGGGGACAGAAGGAGGGGGACTGGTCTCATTTCCTGACTCATGCTGCAGTGGGCTTTGAACCCATGCCCACAGGCAGATCAAGAGCTTAAGGAGATGGCTCTGTAATGGTGGTGACAGTGAACAGCTATCCCAAGATGGTTGTTCCCATAGGAAGCTGAGGGATGGAGGCCTTCTCTTCTCAACCTAGCCTGTCCTCCACCACCTGTCGATTCTGCTCTATACAGCCTGTCAAACTCAGGTCCTCTCTTCCTCTAGGGATGAAGTGCTAGCCCAGTGCCAGCCACATGAGCAAAGAAGACCAGAACTTAGGTTTCTCAGACCAGAGGCATGTCATCTGGCAGGGGACTGTTTTTTCCTCCTTGCCACAAGTGCAAGAGCTTAACTTAGGCCACATCTTATCCTGCCCAGGCCTATCTGACTGTCCCCCGACTCTGCCTGAAAGTCACTGTCTTTGTGGCCTACTTCTTTCCTCTATCTCCAGGTACAGGCAGGAGCCCTGTCTGTGGTTCTGCCTGGGGATGTCCACCTGAAATCTAGCCTATCTGCTGTCCTGGATCAGTCACCCACACACAGGCTCAGCACTTAGCCAGGTTGCTGTTGCTTCAATGATCTCTGGGTGGCACCCTCTTGCTGCATAGGAAGGAGGCAGAGTTGCTTTCTGCCTCTCCAACCAACTGGCAACAGTTATCAGGCCTTCCCTTGCTTCTATTCTTACCCTGCTAGAGAAGGGGCCAGGGAAGGCCTTGGGGAGAAGAGACAGCAATGGGCCCAGGATAAAAGTCATACAGTGAGGTATGGTGCCCTAGTCTGGTGACTCTGGGGTCATCCCTTAACAGCTCTGGCTCCTTCCAGGTGGAAAAGGCCCCGTTGGCCCAGAGGCAGAAGCACAGGCCAGCATTGATTAGGAGGACGTGTTTATTCAAGGCACGGTCATACATTAATAACATGAAGGTTCAGCATTCTGGCACATTCCTTTAGTGGTGGTGGCCATGGTTAGTCCACACCCCTCCAGAGCCCCCAGAGGATGCAATGCTACTGATAGGCACTTTGCTTCCAGAGGCAGCTTAGGGACAGGCAGGCAGGGGTGAGGCTGCTCCGAGCCCTCTAAGAGTCACCTCTGAAAGGCTCTGTGTCATCTGGGTCCCCTGCGAGCCATCTCTCTCCAGAAGAGATCAAAGAAGATGGACTGAGGGTGGCTTCGGGTGGCATGACAAACAATGGGCTGGTACAGCAGGTGCTGAGAAGGGCATATGCAAGATGAAGGAGCCTGGGCCCTGGCGACCTTGCAAAGCCAAGGTCCAGCCAGGTGGACAGCTCCTTGAAGAGCAGAGAGGAGTCTACCACTTGCCCAACACTCAAATCAGAACCAGGCTGCATTTGACCCACATTCAGAGAATGGAGCCCTCCAGCCATCCTGCCCTGTGGTCTGTAGGACCCCTTGTACCTATGCATCCATGGGTTGCAGTGGGTGGGAGTGGGAGGGAGGGCCAGCAGCAACAGACAGGGCTTCAGGGATCTAGGCAAGCTGTGCCCAGAGAAAAGGCCCTGGTCTTGGTTCTGGTTGTACTCCAAATCACTCCATACCAAATACACACTGTGGAGGTTGGACTGTCACTCTCCACTTTGGGCAGAGCTGGATGTTTGACCTCACCACTCTGCCATGAGAAAGTTCTTTCCCTGGTTGATGAAATCCCAGGGGTGAGGGCCTTGAGGTACTGGAGTGTACAAGGGCCTGGCTGTATATAATTCCCCTGTTATTCCAAGCTTGACAAGGAATGGAGGTAGCCTCACCCAGCTGACTCAAGCTCTCAAAGAAGATCACCATGCTAATGCTTGGGTCCAAGTCCTGGGGTGTGACATTACTTGCCCCTTCCTTGAGCAACTGTTTCTGCCCTGGAGTGAAGCTTGGAACTGTGGGGCTGGGAGGTGGGTGGTGACAGAGGTGGAGCAGAGGCAGGGCCAAGTGGTCTGTGTTCTGGGCAGCCATGTACCTAGGTGGAGACACTGAGGTAGAATGAGAATGGACCTACCTGCAGTGAATGGGTGGCAAAGAGGGCCTCAGATACCTGGGGAGGAGTTTCAGAGGCTCAAGGGTGGTTGAGGCTTCGTGGCAGTACTGATAATGCCCTGTCCTAAGAGGCAGAAGCTGGGACATTTCAGAAAGGGGCAGAGGTGCTGAGTCGCGGCATTGCAGAGGCTTGCTCCTCCAATTGGAGGCACATCTGGGAAAAACAGCTTGCCCACCAGTAGGGTCTTCTCCGTGGGGGATGCACCCATCACTCCTCCTCTACCTAACGCTGGCAGGACTGGGGTGACAGCGCTGTAAGAAGCATCTGTGACGTCTGAGCTAGTACCGCACTGGCGGCCAGGCAGGGCAGATTGAGAGAGGAGGGATGGTCCTTGTGAGGGAAGGGGGTAGCTGGTACCTTCAGTTTGTGGCCTGAGCTGTCACCAATCTTTGCCACACTGGGGCACAACACTCAAACACATGGGGCAGAGAATGTTCTTGGTGGCTGCCTCTAGGCTTTGGAGATTTTTCATTTATCCTTGGGGCTTAGAGATGTGTGTCTGATCTCCATGGCCCAGTTTTGGAGAGAAGGCCTTGTTTCCTGAACTCCATGCCCTCCTACACACACACACACACACACACACACACACACACACACACCCTTAAATCAACCAGCAAGGATTAGCCATGGTTTCCTTCACCACGTGCATGTAGGTCCCCCTTTAATGAGCTTGAGTCACTGTCCAGGTAACCACCCTTATAAGTAAGAAACAGGGAAGAAACAGGGAAGGCCTAGTCTCTTCCCAGGGTTGTCCCAGCTGCCCCTTGTTCAGGGGGTGAGGTACAGTTTCCAGGTGCTCTGCAGGGAAACCTGTGATGAGGCAGTCACTGGGACCTTGTCCACAAGGCCCAGTACACATACCTTTGTCTGCTCAGACTGCAGTGGAGGACCGGGGTCTGGAGCAACATTCCTTGAGGGCAGCTGGAATGGGGGTGTAGAAGCCCCTAGAAAGCCTTCAGTGGGCTTCTCCCTACCTCGTCCCTTATGCACACTTGCACCAGCTGGACCCCAGCAAGACAGTCACACAGTATCCAGTCTCTTGTGTCCCGGACTTCAGCCACCACTCTTAGAAACATGGTGTATGCCTCCTCCACCCCATCCTGGGGTCCTCAGCAGGCCTGGCTCTTCACATGACCACAGGGTGGCAGATGTCTCCATCAGGAGCTTCTCAAAGTCTATGGAAGGGAGCTCCTTCCTGTCTCCGCCCACCAGGCTCTCCCTGGCCCCCTGACTGGAGTCCTAATCAGTGGCTCTGGCCCTCCAGTTCCAGCCCTTCCTGGAACTGAGCTGAGTCCAGCTCCCTTGCAAAGCCCCTCAGACTGCTCTCTTCTTCTCCCTCTTCTGGCTGGCTGTTCATGGTGCCATAGGTGTGCCGGGCCGGGGAGGAGGCGGGGGTCAGGTTCAACTCCGGCTCCTGTAGCACGGTGGCCACGTACAGCTGCTCGGGACAGAGAGGGGAAGATGAGGCAAGGTCATATTGGAGCAAGGTCTAGAGTACACCCTCTCTCCTCATGCCCTACCCAGTCACCTCTGTCCCTTTATGTCCTGGGCCTTCTCTGCCCCACTCCCCAGCAGCCTTGTCCTTTCTCTGTTGTGGTCCTTGTCATTCAGTGAGCTCCTAGAGATGAAGCCTGTTCACTCCCTTGGAGTTGCCAGGGTTAGTTGAGTGACAGGATTCCTAATGCCTCATCTTCAGGATGTGCTCCACACATTATCTGTTCCCACCCAGGCTGAATCCAGGGGGGATGGCCTGGGATCCCCCTGAACTGGAGAGACCTTCATGTATCAGCTAGTATGTTTTGCTGCAATGTGTCACGGATTGGAAACTGAGAGTGGTATCTGGCTCGTGTCAGCTGAGGGCTGGTTTCAGGAATGCCCAGGAAGGGGGTTAGATTGGAGACACAGGAAGTACCAGGGGAAGGGGCAACCTGTCGCCTCTTGCCGTGACTTTCATTCTACTCCCTACTTTGAAAGTGGGTATTTCTGGGATAGAAAGAAACCTTTCCATCCTCTGGTATAAACAAACAGCCTTAGTTGATGAGGGAACAGCCCTGTAAAATATCTAGACACATGCATATTGCCAAAGCGCACACCATAGACATTTTGACTATAAAAAAGGAAATGGCAGCTGAACAGTGGAAAAACCTGGCATCATAACCAGTGGTCTCATTAGCGCCACTAACAGGAATGAGTGGAATGTTACAGGTCTCCAAAGTGAAGCATAGTGCTTCCAGGAATACATTCTAGCCCCTGCATTAGACTTGAGCCTCTCATGCCTCCAGCTTTCAGGGAATGGGGAAGGGAGGATATCAGGAAGATGAGCTGGAGAAATCCAGAAGGTGGAGGCATTCTGCCCCACAGGCTTGGTCTTTTCAAGTCCCAATCTAGCATAGATCTAACTCAACTGGTTCTGGGTTTGAACCAGTTATAAAAGATGGGTAATAGGGGCTATTTGCATACAGGTAGGCAAAGAGGTCAAAATTCATCTATGCAGCAACATACAGGTTATAAAACTGTATATGCAGTAGAATCTCATTTTAGCAAAAGACCATATATACATATAGATTCCACATGCACATATAGGCATAAGAGACTTGGAAGAGATGCACACATCCATAGATACCCTGAAGAATGTACACCAGTATCTCAGTGACCATCCCTGGGTGGTGGGAATATGAACTTTTTATTTCCTTATTGTTGTTCCTCTGGTTTTCACTCCCACAGTTGCCTACCATGTTCATATATCACTGTTGGAAACGTAAAGGATTTTTAAGAGCTTAAGCCAGGCACGGCAGCCTGCGCCTGTGTAGTCCCTGCTACTCTGGAAGCTGAAGAGGGAGAATCACTCGAACCTGAAGGTCGAGGCCAGGTTGCCCACATGGAAACCCTGTCTCAAAAAATAAATACATGCATAAATAGTAAGTTCTAGTCATTCTTTCTTTCTTTTTAAAGCACAGATTTTATAGTCATATGGACCTGGTTCAAACTCTGTTTGGCACTTCCTTGCTCAGCACAGGAGGGCGGATTAGTGGATCCTATGGGGTGGGAGCACAACTAAGCAGGATGCTGAGACTCCCACACACAATGGAAATGGTAATAATTAATTAAGTTTGGGGGATTAAAATCCCTGACCATGGGAGTTTATTATTCCAGAGAGAAAACAGCAAGGCTTCGAGCTCTTTATAGTTTCCCCTGCTAACAGTGAGAGTGCTCCTATTGGCCAGAGAAAGTTGTCCCTGGTTGGTTCTTGGTTTCTTCACTGGCTCCTCTCCAGAGACAGTTTGTCACTGGCTGTAGGATTTGTTTTGTTTTGTTTTTTCCTCTCAGGTCAGGCCAACCAGAGTTCTGACATATCTTGTGTCTGGTACATGGCCAGGTGGGTCTGCCTATGTTGATGGACTTAGACCCAACTCTGCCACCACTTAAAAAGAAAAAAAAAAGCCTCATGTGGGCCCTGCCCACAGGCATAGTCTGTTTATCCATGTTGAACACTGTCTTCTGTTTTCCCCATAGGCTCCAGATGGTCTCTTCTGGCTTTTTCCCAGGCTCTTCCTCTTCCTCCAATGCTCTTCCCACACCCTGCTTCACCTGGAAACCTTTCCTCCCATTCCTCCAGTTGTATGACATGGTCCCTTCTCAGGGAAGCTTACCCCGAGTGCCCAGGCCCGCTGGTACCCTTCTTCAGTGCTTGTTGGAGGCGCCTAACACTGAGGTACGAAGGAACCTGTGCCCAGCTCTACTTGCATAGATGATGCTTAAACACTTGTGGTAGGGATGAGGGCGAGGGCTCCTGTCACCCAAGCAAGCTAACGGGCATGGGTGCCTCTGCCCAGTCCACTGGTCACAGACTCAGTCCAGCCTGGGCTCTTGGCAGGCTGGCAGGCTCATCGGTCGGGTGCTGGCCCTGCCTTACCATTCACTGGGTCCATCAATAGCTCTCTGCAGCTCTGTCTGCACCGCTCTGGCCAACGCCTGTGCCCTGGAGGCAGCCTTGGGTCCTGAGGCCGAGCCCCAGCATGTCCCTGCGTCTACACGATTGAGGAGTCTGAGAGCTGGGCCTCCCTGATCGAGTATGTCCTCTCTTGCTTTCTCCTCTCAGGGTGACTTCTATTGACTGTCACAGAACTGGATCTTTTCGCCCCTCTCTTCAGCCAGGGCCCCGGAATCACTTGGACCTGGGCCAAGTCCTGCTGTGTCAGAAGAGGGAGCCCAGGGGTCCCGGCTCCTCCCCAGTACCCAGGGTAGGCACTAAACTCTGGTGCCTTCCCCACATCTTAGCTTGAGCCACCCTTGCAAGGGCCCCGCCCTCCTGACTTGTTCCCAGGGTGGAGGCAGAAACTCACAAGGGAGGTGGGTGTGGAGGTCGTGCTGCTTGGCTCCACATCAAACACAGTCTCAGCTTCTTCCTCAGGCTGCAGTGGAGAGAAGGGTGGTGCATTACAGGATGGGGGCTGCACCTTGCCCCCTCCCATCCTCCATCCACACCTGGCCTCTGGCTTGCCACCTTGCCCTTAACTCTTTCCTTCCTTCCTTCCTTCCTTCCTTCCTTCCTTCCTTCCTTCCTTTTCTTTCTTTCTTTCTTTCTTTCTTTCTTTCTTTCTTTCTTTCTTTCTTTCTTGTTATTCAAGACAGTGTTTCTCTGTGTAGCCCTTGCTGCCCTGGAACAACTCACTCTGTAGACCAGGCTGGCCTCTGCCTCCCCAGTGCTAGGATTAAAGGCAGCTGTCACCACCACCCAGCTAACTCTTTTTCTTTCTAGACCCTCAGACCAGCAGGCAGGGCAGAAACCCAGAAGAAATATGGAAATAAATGATTGGGATGCCAAGAATCCCTTCTGGAATGTTCTGTTCCCAAAACCATAAAGGGGGCAATAATCATAGTTGGAGTGGGGTTTCTGCTCTGACTGTTCTTTGTCTAGGGATCCTCAACCTTACCTGGGTTCCCTACCACACCCTCTCTCTCTCTCTCTCTCTCTCTCTCTCTCTCTCTCTGTGTGTGTGTGTGTGTGTGTGTGTGTGTGTGTGTTGTAGGAAAATTCATTATGGCCCTACTCTAGCCTGTACTCCCATTAGCAAAAAGTGGTGGGTGCTAGACACAAATAGAGAGCAAGAAGAAATGCTTCCAGAAGGCTCCCTCTGCAGGGTTCTGTGCCTCAGCTCAGTTTTCTTTTCTTAATATACATCGTTCAGAAAGGAAACTTTTCACTGTTATAAACAACCAGTTACTGTAAGCAGAAAGTCAATTGGAAGTATGTAATCATGAAGAGCAAGAATAATGTTTCATCCGTTGGAAAACATCCCGGTGTCCCAGCATTGATGTTCACTCTGGAAAATGCTGACGCAGATACTCGGCATTGCTGGCAGGACTCTGAGATGGTGGGGATGCACTTTTGTCTCCAGGGCCTAACAATTAGACTTGGTACCCTTGTCAAAGTGCCAGGGTACCACTAGGGACATCTCTAAACAGACAGCCTCCAGTGCCTCATAGCCTGGGCTTCATTCACCACCATCCGTTCCTCTCTGTTTCTCCTCCCTTCCCGCTCTCCGAGCCCTTGCAATGGTGCTCACAGTGGCTTGACCAGACTCATGTGGTGGGACAGCCAGGCCAGCAGCAGCAGCCTGTTATTTGGAAGAGGGGTGTGTGTGTGTGGGGGGGCAGTGTCTTTGGATGGTCACCCTGAGCTAGTGCATGTGAGCCCAGAAACCCTGGTCTAAGGGGAAGGCCCACCCACCTTCTTGTCCTATTGTGTTCTGGGTGCCTTGACCAGGGTATCTGAGAGCTATGTCCTTGGGATCAGAAGAATCAGCGGTGTGAAGGGCAAGCTGACAACTTACCTCATACCGACGGACTATCCGGAGCCTCCCCAGAAAAATCCCAGAAAAGGCAATTATCACGCAGATGATGAGGGATGACAAGGAGAACAAAGTGATGGCATGGGGGGCACCTGCCAGAGAGAAGAAAGACCGTGGGCATGGAACTTAGCGCTGCAATCAGGGTGGAAGCAACGCAAGGGCTTCATAGATGCCTGGGACAACCTGATTCAGAATCTCCACTGGACCACTGAGCTAGGGCAGAGAAACCCTTGCACAACGCTCCCTCCAAGGAGTGGGCTAAGCGAGCGTGACATGATAAGGTCATCCCTGTGTTCTATTTGGCCAGTTTAGAATGTCACTTATTGTGGATTCTATGGAGAATAGAACTTGGATGAACTCAAATTACCCTACACCAATGTCCATTAAACAAGTCTGTTTTGATCTGCCAACTACCTGTTTCCATGGTTCCTCCAAAGTATATTTTTTAAAGATTTTATTTATTTATTATGTGTACAACATTCTGCTTCCATGTATATCTGCACACCAGAAAAGGGCACCAGATCTCATAACGGATGGTTGTGAGCCACCATGTGGTTGTCGGGAATTGAACTCAGGACCTCTGGAAGAGCAGTCAGTGCTCTTAACCTCTGAGTCATCTCTCCAGCCCCCTTCCAAAGTATATTTGAGTTACCAGTTCTGCCGCTGCCCCCAGTCTCTGACCTTTCCCTTGTCCCTGCAGGCCCAGTGCTAGTCAGCATTCAAAAGTCAGTTACATATTTCATGTGTGAATATTTGATCTCCTTAATGGCAACAGATTTTTTACAAGGTCAGTATGGAAAGTCAACTCTCCAGTCTTGGGTGATTGCCAAATGGAGCTTACTGGTGCTTGGCTATGCAAAGGCAGAAAGTGGTGAACAACCTCAATGCCCAACCACAGAGGGATAACAAAAGCTGTAGCCTTGAATGCAGCCGGCACAAGGCTGCGTTCAAACAGAATCCTAATACATGAAGCCATTTGGAATGTAATGTGTGGATGAAAACTTAAGGTTGCAGGTTACAATGTGGATGGTCACAATTTTATAAACTAACACACACCCTCATTTTGCTCCCTCCCCTGAACAAATGCCTAGCCAGAGTCTGGGAATAAGAAAGACCAGGATCTAGAAGGGATTGTGGGTAACAGATTTTGGTCTTCGTATTTTTTTAAATTTCTTTTTACTATTTTTGATAGAGAAAGGCAGTGATGGGGAAAAATGCCTTCCAGGTGGCAGGGCAAACCATACAGGATAGGAAATGGATGTTAATAAATGTTCCATGAGTGTAATCAAGGGTTACATTCTAACAGAGTAAGAAAATACACCACAGTGGGTTGTCACGGGAGGCAAGGTCAGTGGAATTGAGAAGTCTAGTGACATGGGTGACCCAGATAGGAGGAAGCTGAGAAACTCCCAGTCTGTGGCCTCTGAGATTTCACTGAAGGTGCATTCCCCAAGGCAGGAGAAGCATCTTTGTGTAGCCAAAGGGCAAGGAAAGGCTAGGCACCATGACAGAGTCTGATTTCCTTTCCAGGTTCTGGCAAGCCCATGATGGCAGGTACCTTACAGGCTCCCAGAGGAAATATAATGGGAATGGAGTCCCAAAAGTTGTTATTCTGTTTTCTGTCAATCTACATTTAAAATGAAGGAATGTGGCATTTCTTACTCAAAGCCAAATCGGCATCATTTGGACTTTGTCTCTAAGTCCTGCCAAGACTAAAGCTCGCATTGTGGCCAGACTGGACTTAGCCAAGTCTCACAAACAATGTTCTGTTCACCCTGAGCTCTCTTCTACCAGAGATGGTCTCAAGGGACCCACAGGGCAAAGGTCAGGCAGAGTTGGGACCATGGAGCAGGCTGCTCACCCACCTACTCTCAGGATGGAGAAGAACAGCATCCAGAAGAGCCCTAGAAGTGGTGCGAAGATGGCCTGGTAGATGGCAGCCATGTGGATCTGCTCATTCAGCTTGGTGGGCGCGTACGAGTAGTACATGTTATAGCGGTCTGTGAGGTGCTTCATGCACAGATACAGCAGCCCTGGGGACCAGAAGACAGAGACACATTCTCACTGGCTGCTCTAACGAACAGGGCAGATCTGTGCTGTTCTCAGATGCCCATGGATCTAAAAGGTCAGACTCGGGGCTGACAGGCAGCGAGAGTCAAGGGTGGACTGTGGAAGGCCTACGGAGATGACTTTTGTGGCCTCTAGAACTGATTCTGTCAGCTTGGTGATGTCATTCATTCATGCATGCATTCAACCAGCACCCCTTGTTAGCAGCCATCCAATCAGTTCCATAGCCTAAGCCCTGTCCCTGCCACCACCCTGATGCTGTTGAGCGCGGTTCCTCCTCCCATTTCAGAGGGTGTAGCCCTGGGGGTACCTTGTAGATGACTCACCAAAAGGGACAATTATAGGGCAAGTGATGCTATATGCCATCACCACACTGAAGACATTCAACATCCATGCGTATTCTCGCCCAAACTGGAAGTCCATGGCCTGGTTCTACGGCAGAAGGCAGGGGTCACCCTCAGGTTGCCCAGCTCCCTTGTCTTGGATGCTTCTGGGACTCCTCTAGGGAGCTGGCAGGCAGCTCAGTCCTAGAGGCAATATTTCTTCCCTCGTTGGAGTCCAAGAAACAGCTACTCATGGTCACAGCCTTTCATCGTGGCGCCCAGCGCTCCTAGCAGACCCCTTCTTTTCCCTCCCAGAAGACTGTGCTCAGAGAAGGACTGGCCCTTACCCTTCTGATATGGACTCTCTGTGGCTCTGATCTGGAAAAGAAGAGGCGGGTACAATATGTGCAGAGTGACCCCAGGCGCATCAGCTCCATGCCCGTGCCTAGCAGAGCAGCTGTGATCACATAGTTGACGAAGAATGCTCCGTTGTCTGGAAGGAAGACGCACCTGGGCAGCGGGGGAAGGAGGGAGGCAGAGGAAGGACAGAGTAAAGGAAGAGATGTTGGTGAAGGAAAAGAGAAACAGTACAGCGAGTGGAGGACACAGAGAAGAATAAAAATCCATAAACAGCCGCTCTATATAATGCCATTTTTATCAATGACAGGCCACATATATGATGGTAGTCTGTAAGGCTACATGCCCCAGCATTTTATTCTGTGCAGGTACACTAGAGGTGCGGTTCTCCTGCACACATATGAATGGAACACATAGATTCCAGGAACCCAATTTAACAAGCAGCCCCTTTGAGCAGACGTATGGATGGACTACATAAAATATGGTTTAGAATGGACCTGTTAGGTGTCTGACCTCCTGACAAACTCTGAATTCTGAAAACAAATGGCCTTAGAGGAGAAAAGATGACCCCTTTTAAATTTATTTATTTATTTATTTATTTATTTATTTATTTATTTATTGAGACAGGTTTTCTCTGCGTAACAACCCTGGCTGTCCTGGAACTAGCTTTGCGATCAGGTTGGCCTCTAACTCACAGAAATCTGCCTGCCTCTGCCTCCCCAGTTCTGGGTTTAAAGGCATGTGTTTCAAATTTTTTTGAAAGATTTGTTTTTGTTATTTTTAATTATGTGTATGTGTCTGTGTATGGACATGTGCACATGAGTGCAGGTGTCCACAGAGGCCAGCCTCATCAGATCCCCCTGGAGCTGGAGTTACAGGAACTTGTGAGCCACCTGGAATGGGTGCTTGGAACCAAACTCAGGTCCTCTGCAAGAGCAGTATATGATCTTAACAACTGAGTGATCACGGCCGACATCTTTTTATATGCAAAATGATAGTTGGTGTTAAATACGCTGAAAGTTACAGTGAGTAAAATTCTGTCATCTATAGCAGTGTGCTTGAGCTGGGCGGTGGTGGCACACACCTTTAATCTCAGTACTTGGGAGGCAGAGGCAGATGGTTCTCTGTGTGTTCAAGTCCAGTTTGCTCTACATAGTGAATTCCAGGACAGCCAAGAATACAGGGAGAAACGCTGTCTCGAAAAACAAACTAAACAAAACAAAACTAAACTAAACAAAAACCTGAAGTGGACTTTACATGGCTAGCCAGTTTCCACTGGGAATCATTTAGCTGCTGTGTCTTTAGTGCTCAAAACACGGGTTGCAAAGAACACAGTTACATTGAAATAGAGGATCAATATATCTTTTTATTATTTTTTATTCTTTTTAAAGATTTTATTTATTTATTATGTATACAACATTCTGCTTCCATGTATATCCACACACCAGAAGAGGGCACCAGATCTCATTACGGATAGTTGTGAACCAACATGTGGTTGCTGGGAATTGAACTCAGGACCTCTGGAAGAGCAGTCAGTGCTCTTAACCTCTGAGCCATCTCTCCAGCCCTGATAATCAATATATTTTAAAGGCCAGGAAGATAGCTAATCAGTAGAATGCTTGCATACATCTAAGTTTGATATCTAACATTCACAAAACAAACAAACAAAAATGTGTGGGGCATGTCTTGCAACCCCACCTCCCTGTCCAGTCAACCTAATCAGTGACCTCCAGGTCCCTGTGAGAGACCCTGCTAGGAAAAAAAAAAAGCTGGCAGCTCCAGGGAAATGACACCCAAGGTTGACTCTGGCCTTCACATGTGTGTGTACATACGTGCACCTCCCACATACTTTTTTTTAAAGGGAGACTTAAGCATTTCTCAGTGTCTCCATTGACACAATCATATCAATGTTCTTGAAGAGAGAACTGTGAGCCTCTGGCCACCTTTCAGAACTCCATCAAAAGCTATCCTAAGGGCTGAAGCTAGCTCAGCGGTGGAACATTTGTCTAGCAAGCACAAGACCCTAGGTGTGATTCCCATAGGAAGCTGAGGCAGGAGAATCTTGAGTTGGGTAGGATTCATGTCTGAAAACAACACGATTCATATTCCTTCTTCACAGTATTGAAGGTGACTAACAAGCACTACTGTGTTATAAGTGAAGTATACTGAAGATATATTCCTAGCCAAAGACGAAGCCATTCACCCTAGAAAGGCAACTTTCTGTGATTTCAGTGTCAGTTTTATTGTAGAAAACTTGGACGATTCTGGTCCTTGCCTCGACGAGCAAACTGTGGGAAGGTAAAGGTCATTTGCATTGTGTCTTTGAAAACTGGGGTTTTCAAACACTGTAATCATGAAAAAAAATCAATGAAAGGTCATATTTTAAACATAATGCACATCATAGATTTTGTCTCCCCCCAATTTTAATGTCCTCATTCCATAATTAATCAGCCTTCACACTGGAGTCTGTAACATAAACAAAAAAAAGGAACTTTACATTGTTTCTATTTAAAAAGTGTTGTCTTATTGATGGGTTAATTGCTACAAATCTGTAAAACATTTTGATAACTATTTATTTTATCTTATTTCATTTTATATCAAAAAGGTGGGTATATGTGTGTTGTTGTGGAATATAATTTTAAGGTCTGTTACATTTGTTTATGCTATGGAACATTTGTTTAATGATGCAATGGTGTGCTGCATTCTTTTATGTTGCATTTGTTTAGCTCTGTGAAGCTGTCATACTTGGCTTGTCTAAAACACCTGATGGGTCTAAAAAAGAGCTGAATAGCCAATATCTAGGTGGGAGAAAGGATAGGTGGGGCTGCCAGGCAGAGAGAATAAATAGAAGAAAAAGAGATTGAGGAAAGAGAAAGAGGAGAAGAGGAAGACTCCAGGGGGCAGCCACCCAGCTACCAAGCTACACAGCAATCCACAGAGAAAGAAGTAAAGAAAGGTATACAGAAATAGAGAAAGATAAAAGCCCAGAGGAAAAGGGTAGACTGGTTAATTTTTTTAAAACTAGCTAGAAACAAGCCAAGATAAGGCCAGGTATTCTTAAGTAAGAATAAGACTCCGTGTGTAATTTATTTGGGAGCTGGGTGGTAGGCTCCCCAAAGAACAAAGAGCCCCAAAAAGTAAAATAGAATAACCAACAACAGTGTGTGCCCACATATGGGAGGCCAGAAATGGGCATTGGACTCCATTGAGTTGGGGTTACAGGCAGTTTTGAGCCACCTCATGGGTGCTGGGAATTGAACTCTTGTCCTTTTCTAGAACACTATTCACTCTTAACCACTGAGCAATCTCCCTTGCCTCTGGTAATAGTGTGCTCCATGTGTTTTATACACATACACTGCCTGGTGTGGGTGAAAACCGGAGATCAGCTTTGTGGACTGTACCAACATGAGGTTCCTGGTTCTTTCTTATATGACACCATATTCATGAAAACGTTATCAATGAGGAAATCTATATGAGGACACATGGGTGCCCATCTTGTACACTTTTGTGGTAGCTTCTTATGAAACTCCAGTGACTCCAAGAAGAGGTCCCTGGGTTTTACCAGATTGCCAAAGGGGACCAAAGCACAGGACAATCTTCTAGGGATGCTTCCATCTATATCTATCTACTCCTGGGTACCACTGATGCAGGGATGGGCGAGGGAAGGGTACACATGTCTGCCCCAGTGCAGACACACAGAAAACCCCGTGTACACCCAAGAATACTTACTGGAACCTGATGGTTGCATGTTCAAGATAGTAGATGTCAAAGAGCCAGCGCAAAAACACATTCAAACTAGAATGAAGAACAAAATTAGACCTTCAGTTATAGTGTTCAGTGCTACAGCCTAGGGCTCAATTCCTAGCCTGAATTCTTCCTACTTTCCATTCTCCCTCACCAATCCCCTGAGCCCCTGACATAATGCTCGCTGGCCAGTTATCCTACACTCTTCCTTTTAAACACCAAGCCATTCTGCATCCTTTGTTGTTGGCCATCCAGCTCAAGACCACTTTCTGCAACAGATCTTTGCTATCTCTCTCCAAGTTCTCTCTCTCTCTCTCTCTCTCTCTCTCTCTCTCTCTCTCTGGGATGCCTTGTCTGCCTTGTCTTCCAAGCTGAAGCAGAGTTCACTTGGTAATGTGAACTCTACAGCTGGTGTGATACCTGGCTCAAGCTACACCTGTGACAGGCATGGGGCTGTCATTTGAGGAGACTTTTGGCAACCATGGGAGGCCTAGACTATCTGAAAGGAGACTTCAGCGCCAGGCTGAGCCCGGCTGAGGCAGGGGTGATAACTGAGAGTGAGGTACCTGGTCAGGCCCATGGAGGGCAGAATGACCACCATAAACACCAGAAAGATGTAGCATTTGTGCATTATGATGACATTCTGACTTGACCTGCAAGGAATTGAAGAGAAACATTTATCAGTGTATAAGACAGAATAAATAATATCAAAGATCTGAGCTGGGTATGGTGGCACATGTCTTTAATCCTAGCACTGGGAGGCCGGGCCTGGTGGATCTCAGAGTTCAAGGCCAGCCTGGTCTTCAGAGCAAGTTCCAGTACAGCCAGAGCTATCTATGGAGACAGACCCTGTCTCAACAAAACCAAACAAAGCAGACAAACAAAAGAATCAAAGACCTAACTACATAAGACAGTGAGAAGGAGAGGGAGAGGAAAACCAGATGACTGGACAGGGAAATTGCTCTGTAGTTCAGCCCAATGCTCTTTTCACTGTGTACTGTATCTGGTAACAGCAGGAATGGACAGTATGATCAACTAGTAATGTCTGTCCTGGGCACAGGAAGGAGACAAAAGGCATGCCATGCATTTGACATCTCTGAATCAAAGACACATTACCAACGAATTTCAGCAATTTATGTGAGCTATGTCCTTGACTATAGGACAGGCCAGTAAAGGATTTCTATTAGGTAACCCATAGCTTACCACCTGGTAGAGTGGCAGGAATTTTGGATGTAGAAACTCAGTTTTGTGATCCAGACATTAAGCCATATGGCTAACATAATCTACCCAGTTACCTACCACCATGGAAGTATTAGCATTAATAAATAGAAAATTTCTTGAATTTGGAAACATTGATTTTTGTATGAGCCAACGATGCTCCATGTCATTGAGTACCTGGACTCCTGCTGTGGCCTTGGCTGCTTACCCGAGGCTCTGCAGATGGGACTTTTGAATCACAGCATTTATGCCTACAGCTTTAACCCCTCCATGGAGGTTGAAGGCAGAGAGGGCAATCTCAGCAGCGCTTGGTTTGGGCCTCCCTTCCCCTTAGATAGTAACCCTTAATCTATAGATCCAAGGCCAAAGGCCAGGCGACAGTCCAAGACCTCTGGTCTTCTGAGACAGTTTCAAATATCAAAACCATCCCATGTCAGTTTTCAGCTTTAGACTCGATGAAGGGCCCAAGTGCTGGGCTGGTAGGAAAGAGGAAGAGGCCGGGGGGCAAGAACCACCTGGGGAAGGAGAGGAGCCCCCAGCTCACCTGGTCCAGTGGGCCTCTAGGAAGGCGGAGAAGTAGACCACGAAAGGCATTATCACTGTGAAGGCCCAGAGCAGGACAGAGGGAAAGAACTGGGTCACAACTGGGCTCTGGAGGGGAGGCAGGGGAGGGCAGGAGAGGCATCAGCACAAGAAGCCCCTTCCCCTCAAAGGACACCCTGGTTCTCCCCAGCCACACCTCCCCACCTTCAGCCCCATCAAGAACAAGTGTGCTTTCCCTAAGGCTACAGAATGGTCCTGGCCTTTCTTGAGTGCCTTCCTGGCCCGAAGTTCACCTGCTGGAGGAGACAGAGGCTCACACCACAAGGTCAAGTAAGTCCACAAGGGGCTTCTATGCTCTGGTCATGGGAGAGACAACCTGAGGTTTCTTTAGTGACTTTACCCTACTGCTAGGGCAGCTGTTGGGACTCATGTTTCAGGACTCAAGGATAACACTGCCTGAACTATGATGTGTGAGTGTGGGGCATCTTGGGAAGGGTCAGGAAGGAGGAAGACCTACGGGAGCAGAGAGGTTTACAGCATGCATATGGCCTGTGCCTCTTACAGATTTGAGACAGACGCAAAAGTGGTATAGCCATACATGTGTGTGCATATGCACGCGTGGGCACGCACGTGTGTGTGTGTGTGTGTGTGTGTGTGTGTGTGTGTGTGTGTGTGTGTGTGTCTATTTGTGTGCATGTGAATGTCTATACATGTGTCTCTGTGTGTGCATATGTGTGTCTCTGTATATATGTCTGTGTATGTGTGTATAATACATACATATGTGTGGGTTTGTGTGTGGGGGGGTGGGTTGTTTTACTGCGAATAGAGAAGGGGTGCTATGGGTAGAGAAGCATTCTGGCTCATTAGAACAGCATGAAGGGCACAGGATTTGAAGAACTGGGCCAGTGTTCCTTGACCTCTAATGTGAGGAAGTACTTTGATGGGGCACTAGGAGAGGAAGAAGGCTGAGGTCTCACTTTCTTTCCAAAGGCTGTGTTGGGGCTCGTCCTACTCTTCTTTACCCTCTGCTCTTACCAGGAGCCAAGGGAGCCTGCTGAGAACAGAGCTGTTAATGCCTGCTGCACCCTACAGAGCCCCAACTGGCTTAGAGGGGCTCAATCCATCAGTACCCTCTAAGCCCACATTCTCTGGACCACCCATCCTTGGATTCACCAGGACCTACCTACAGCTCCTCTATTCTCCAACCTGTCCCCGAGAGATGTGGGCAAAGGCCCACATCTGTCCTATTTGGAACTCTGGACACTCTACCCTACCTGTGACACCACTCGACCTCCAACATGCTGTTGCTATAAAAGTACTAGGACCTTTCTCAGGAGCCCCAGGCCTAGCCTGAGCAGAGGAGGTACCTGCAAATTCTCGATGGGGCGGGTGACATTGTACATGTCGATGGTGTTGATGATGATGGCGGGCGTGGTAAGGAAGAAGAAGAGGATGAAGAGGGAGGTGTTGATTGCAATAAAGCGAGTCCACCATTGGAAACGGCGGATGGACAGGTGTTTCCTGGGAAGGGAGGGAGAGAAGAAAGACACACTTAGGCCAAGGTCTCAGTCCAGAAAGAGAGAGAGAACACTACTTTTTCTGTAAGCCAGGTGTGGGCCTGGTCCTATGTGCAGTGGTCACTGATATTTCTCCTTAGGGTCACCATTTGTAAAGGCCCAGAATATGTTTCAAAGTGTTAGTGAGAAGCTACAGTGAAAACTTTCCCCAAGGTTGGTCCCTTCCATGGTAAAGGTGGCCATGTGATAGGCAGGGGCTATGACACTCAAGGAAGCACACAGCAGAGTCCAGTGGGAGCTGGGTTTGGACAGTTCTGAATCTAGTCCCCATGGATTCTCTGTTGGGAAATAAAGTAGAGAGAACAGGCTCTGTCCCGTAGCTGTCTTCAATCCCAGAGACAGAGAGGGACACAGAAGAGGCTTACCAAATGATGTCTTTGGGGTGAGGGGCATCAACAACCCTCCATTGGTAGTTTTTGATGATGGTTGTTACTGAGGACTGCTTGGGGCGCATACCACACTGGATGCACTTGTAATCTTTCTGGATGCTACAGAGATGAAATGAAGAAGAGACATAGGTCTGGGGTAGGGAGAGAAACACTTCAGAGAATCATATCCCAGGGTTCTAGAGCCACCATGACTAGTCCCACCGTTGGGGCTACACCACTTCAGGGGAATTCTCAAAGCCTTCGTTAAGTCTCCCAGGACCTTAGAAATGGACATTCCCTAATGTACAGTATCTGGGGGAGAGGGTATTAGAGGTGTCTAGACTATCCAGGAAGAGGAGCAGGCCCCAGGGTCCTCAGCTCCTGCCTCAGTTAGTAGCAGTAGCAATGCACAGATGAGCTTCTCCTTTAAGGTTATAGGAAGGAGCCAGCTTCAACTCAGGTCAGCATTAGTGACCCCAGGCTCCAGAGTTCTTCCTGTGGCCCTGAATCTATGTTTTCTGGTGAAAAGCAGAATCTCAGTTGCACAGATTTCTAAATTGAGATGCCACTGGAGAGGGTACACACTGGTGTTAAAGCCCAGTCTTTGACCTTCTGACACATTCTGCTTTAATGAAGGCTCAGATCTCTGCCATCTAGTGATGTTTTAAGAAAGAACAATCTTCCCTTATCTAGGGGTATTGCTTTATACAAAACACAAACACATATACACACAAATAATAATTAATAATAATAATGAAGAATCTATATGTCCCTTGCCAACTCACTGGGGAGTGAAAAGGGCAGGAATCAGCAACCAAACTAGACACATAAGTTTGAGGGGCCAGGGATACTGGTACCTTTTATCTCAGCACTCAAGAGGCAAGAGACAGGTAGATCCCTGGTCTACAGAGGGAATTCCAGGACAGCCAGAGATACACAGAGAAACTTTGTCTCAAAAAACCAAAACAACAAAAAAAAAAAAAAGAAAGAAAGGCAGGTAGGAAGGGAGGAGGAGGCAAAGGAGAAATAGTTGTTGTTTGAGGGATGGAGAGATGGCCCAATGATTAAGAACACTGGCTGCTCTTCCAGAGGACTTGGGTTCAATTCCCAGTACCCACATGGCTGCTTACAACCCTCTGTAACTCCAGTCCCAGAATACCTGACGCCCTCTGCTGGCCACCCCGAGCTCCAGGCATACAACCGGTGCACAGATATACATGTAGGCAAAACACACATACCCATAATATAAAATAAAAACTTAAAAAAAGAGGTTTGAGGGTTTAAGTGGCTTAGAAAATTGTGCGCTATTATTTGTGACTAACATCTAGGCTGTGTACTCCTTTATAGGGTTGGGTGGAAGAAGGCACTTTACATAGTGCCCAAGCATTGTAAGGTTCACACCAGGGAGAAGAGGGCCCCACAATCCTTTTGAGACCAGTTCTGGAGTTCCCATGCATTTAGTTCAGTGCTAAAAATCCTTCTAGAACATTCTAAATTGAGGCCCACCAGAGAACTGGTACAGCCATGGGACAGCAACAGAAAGGGACAGCAACATGGTAGCTACCAGAAAGGGAGCCATGGGAAGACACCGCAGCTGGAGGGAGACTGGATCCTCTGACCCTTAAGATGGGTGAGGATAAGAGTGTGGTGTTTGAGAAGCAGAGCCCATAGGGATGGCAGGCTCAGAGCCGCCTGCAGTTCCTGCCTCTCGCATCATCTACATTACCTGAGTTTGAACTCTGGTCATCTGAGATTCATGACACTCAGCACCCACCGTTTCACTGTCCTGGCATCCTGGAAGGTGACAAAGATCAGGTCAAGCCGCTTCAGCCGGACACGATTAAGCTCTGCATTGAACTCGTCGGTCAGCTGCTCCTCCAGCTCACTGTAATACTGCTCCGCATCTACCTGGGGCAAGAGGAGGCCCTCAGAGCTGGAGAGGCCAGGGCCATGGAGGCCTGGCTTGGCTCCAGGGCTCTCAGATGCAGCCAGAAGCCCTTCACCCCTGGAACAGCTACACACTGACTCTTCAATTCACCTCTTGCCCTTAGATTTGGGGACATTGAGGCACAGGGTGGTTAATGAATACTTCAGACTCAAGTGAACTTCAGGGGTTGGGCATTCTTTTAGTCTAACGGACACAGGGCTCCAAGTGCCTGAGACCTCTCTAGTCATAGGGGTCAAGGGACAAGGTGGATTCTATTTTTCCAACTGTTTTTGCCCTGGTGGCTTTGGAAGCCTGAAGCTTGGCCACCTACTGCAGGCTGCCATGTTCCCTCTGGTCTATCTGTCTAGGATCAGAAGGCAGACAAAAGCAAGCCCTAGAAGGGAACCCAAGAAAGGTTTTTGCTCCTCTTTATATGCACAAGGATACAGGGTTTAGGCGAGAGAGGTTCTGGACCACCAGGCTAGGCCTGAATGGGCCCGGGAAATGGGGACTTAGGCAAGAGACCATTCTGGAGCCCAACCTCCCACCTTTTCCCTAATGTTCCCAACACCCTGGTCAGTTACCTCCTTGAAGCAGGTACAGCACTTGCAGAAACACAGACGGGAGCAGGGGTGAATCTTGATCATCACCTTCCCGCTCTTCTTAGCCTTGGCCGCGTAGTAGAGTCTGCCCCGCATGGCATGGCGCCTGGCAGCGGTGGGCAATGAGGGAAATTTCTCTGGTCAGTGACCAACAGAGAAAGTGCCATCCTTTCCTTGCTCCCTCACCCCAGATGCCAGCAGGCCCCTCTGTGATATTACCTTTGATCATCCAAGTCAACGAGGGTCCTGACATCATAGCAGAAATGGACTCTGGTCACCATACACTCAGGATAGGCCTCACTGCAGTCACAAACACAGATATTGAATCAGCCTGTGGGGCTGGGTTGAGCAACTTCACTCCCTAGTTAGTGTCACAGCCCGCAGGGATGGGAGACTCTACTGCCTGTGGTTCCTGCCTCTTGGAACGACATCCATCCTTGCACCTAAGGCTGAGCTACCTTTGGGGTTTAGACCCAGTCATCTGAGACTTGAAGTATCCTTTACAGATGATTCAGAACAGGATATGGTCATTTTACAAACACCAGGGGCCTGGGAAGGAGCTACTTTTGAGAGATAAGGAGCAGCATCCCTGGGTCCAGGGTTTGGGGACTAAGACGGTTGGGAAGCAGGGTCTCCCTGGAATGAGTAGCTGAAGCCACAAGAAAAAGTTAGTGGCCCCCTTTGCCTCTCACCTATGCCATACAAGGGCCTCTAGAACCCTGTTGCAGCCTTAGTGGCCCTCTCCATTCTAAATAGTTGATCCTTAGCTGAGTCCAGAGAGGACCACTACCAGGAATGTCTCTAGCCCTGGAATTCTGTGCCAACTCACATTCCTATGAGAACCCGGGGGAGGGGGGGGATGCTGGGAGGATGCGATGCTCAACACAGCCCAGGCTACCACTTACTGGAAGTGCCTGCTGATGATCTCTGGATCCTGGATTTCAGTGGGTACGTAGGTGATCATCAGTGTCCTCGTGATCTGGGGTTGGGGGAGAGGAGGATGTGCTTCCGAAAGAATGCTAGCTATATGGGTCCTTAGTGGCCCAGAGCCCCAGAAGAGCAAGCCTCTGCCCCGACTACGCTGCCTGCTTCCTAGAGTCCCCCTGCTAAAGCGAGCTGCTGGCTAGCATCCTGTAGCTCCCCCAAAATCAACAAAACAGGCCGTGGTTAGTCTCTGTGCTCCAGCTGGAAACCCCTGCCTAACAGCTGAGGTCAGGAAGGGAGAACCAGAGCCAAGGTGAAGGACCACATCTCCCCTTCTAGGAAGGATCATTTGTGTCCGCTTGCGGATGGTACAACCCCACTGTGACTTTCAGTCTCGCCGAACTACCTACGTTTCTAGTGTAAAACCTTGTGTTGCTGGAGCAATCCCTAGTATTCTAAGGGCCTGGATCTGGGAGCAAATGCGATGGTCAACAGCTAAAGCCATGGGAAAAAGATGAAGACTTTGAGAGGAGGGTTATCTAAGCAGAGTGTCTTAGATGTCCAGTAGTGTGCCCTCACAGGGTACACCAACCCCTCCTATTTGCCTGTCGCTTTGAGGTGAGTAACCTCCTCCTGCCACCTGCTTCTACCGTGATGCACTGTCTCACCACAGGCCCCAAAGCAATGGCGCCTACTGAGTACGAAATAAAACCAAAACTGTGAGGCAAAACAAACCTTCCCTCTTTTTAGGTTGATTCCCTCGGAAACATCGTTACAGTAACAGAAAGTTGACTAACACAGCAAGACTGAAGAGGAACTAGGGTGTCTTGCCCAAACTTCCTATTTTACTCTGCAGCTGGATAACATCCTCCTGATCCATTCAAGGTGACACTCTGACAAACTACCACAAAGGATGAGTCCTGCAGCCTCAGCTTCCGGTAACAATGAGCAAACCTGAAGCAGCTCGGTGTCCCAGCCTCTGTACCCGGCTGGCTGGAGTGCTTGGGGTGGCAACTTCAGGGTGTGTGATCTACACTCCCGGATAGGTTAAAGTGAATCTGTCCTAGAACAGGTAAGCTCAAAGGAGTAAATCCTGCTCTCCTGAGCTAAGATTGAAGCTATGGATGCTCATGCCCATGGGTGCCCTTCCCCACAGAGCACAGATAACCCAAAGGCCGTACCCTTTTCAGGGTCCTCGCCCAAGCAGCTGCCCATCTGCGACCCCTTCAGCATTGAGGTCTGTACAGCAGAGGCTGTGGCCTACCTCAGCCCTGAGATTGCCTGAGTAGGTTTTCTTGGCCTTGAAGGTATGTGTAGGTCAAGAGATGAAGACTTGGTCTGGGGAGATGGGCTCAATGGGTTATGAACACTTACTGCCTAAGCATGAGGAACTGAGCTCAGATTCTTAGCATCCATGTAAAAAGCCAGGTGTGGCCAAGCCTGCCCTCAGCACTGTGGGAGTCAGAGACAGGAGGATCACTGGGGCTTGTTGGCAGCTAACCTTATTCTAGGTTCAATGAGAGTCCTTGTCCCAAGAGAATAAGGCAGAGAATGACAGAGCAGGACTCCTGATGTTCTGTTTTGGACTCCATGTGAGTGACTATACCTACACATGAGCATACACACACACACACACACACACACACACACACACACACATAAAAACAAAGAAATAATTACAATAAAAACAGAGAAACCAAGTCTCCAAGTACAGCCCTCTGTCAGGGAGTTGGACAAGGGTGGGAATTATCCCCAACTCCTCACATCCCAGGCTGGGAATATTCTAGGACACACACTCTAAGCCAGCTTCCAGAGTTCCCAGGGCAGAAGAGACAGAACACGGGAGGCAACCCTGAACAGCTACTTCCCACCCAGTGTGAGGGGCTTTCATGGCTTAGCAAGTGGGATCCCAGGGCGGGGGATGTAGAGGAAAGGGCATGCAGGGGTAGAAGAAGGCAAGGGCTTGCTCCTGCTGGAGGGAGACCCTCCTCCCTCAGGGAGAGCCAAAATGGCACTTTTGTGACACTGGGGAGCAAATCCTTCACATACTCACCTTGCGGTTCTTCTTGGGCACAAATCCTAAGCAGTGATGGCCCATGAAGGCAAAGTTGACGAGGAAGTACAAGAAAGCGAACAAGCTATGCAGCCACAGGAACTTACTCCTGAGGGTGGGGGTGAGGGTGGAACACAAGATTCATACGTGCTGCAGGCCTCTGGAGCCCCACAGGGTTGCTATACTCCCATTACACCATCAGTATGCCCAAACATCCCTCCCACCACTACAAACAGGACTTCCAATGGACCAGATCCAGGGTGGGACTAAGCTCTTTTTTTGTATCTTTTCATCAGACCTTTAGGGTAGTTCCCTAACCTATCCCTCATTTATATAGGGAAAGGAGGGCCAGGGCAGCGGCTAACTGCCTAAGGTCACTGGGAAGAGACACAGCTGCCCATGTGTGTGGGTACCCATCCCTCAGCTCACAGATGCCCAGCAGGCTGAGGGAGGAGTTACTGGGCCATATGAAGGGAGAGGGAGGGCAGGCAATCTCACTTCCTGGAGTAGAAGAGGGCTGGTGGCCACTGGGCTCTGCTTCCACCCTCGCTTGCAGCTCACAGGAAGTTGTGTCAAGGTTACTGTTTGGAAGCTTGAGTGGTGTGGCTTGAGGAGAGCAAGCCGGGTCTACTCCTTCTGGCTCAGGGCCTGCCCCACCACAGGCTTCCTTCCACCTACCTACATGCCTAGCCACTCAGATTCTACATCGGGGCAAGGGCAGGCTCCTTAAAGAGCATTTTGGCACTGTGCAGAGTTAGTCACATACACTGAGGGTCCCCTGCTGCTCTATGGGATCCCACTCCTCGGGAAGGGATACGAGGCACCTCAGAATGACCGGCTCAGGGAATGCTGGTGGCTCTGCTCCAGCTGACATTACTAGGGTGGGCAGAGCTGGCTGGTGGAAGATGGGAGAGGATGCTGCAGCCCCATACTGCTCATCAGAGAGGTCTAGCAATGCTAGACTGTTCTGAGGCCAATGACACGGGGTCGGGGCGGGGGGCACGGTTAGAGGTGTAAAGCAGGTAGGGGTGAGGCGGGATAGATCCCGTTCACACCTCAGGGAACTGCTTCTACAGTTTGGTCAGGAAGCAGCTGGCCAAGCCATTTAGTGAACCTTAGCATAGACAAGCAGGGCCACATCTGGCTCAGTTCAGGCTGATGTGGCTACCAATCAGGTTGGCTGGCTCCTGGCCTGAAATTGGGAAGGAACTCAAGGATGGTGTCCTAGGGTGTTTCCCATGCTTCAGGACTGAATCTGGAGCAAGGATTTTCCCAGAGGCAGAGCCAAAGGATGGCCAGTAGATGGCAGCAGTGAAGCCTGAACCTAGCATCTGATTGTCCTGTTATGGACATCAGAAGTGCAGACTGGAGGTCCAGTGAGCCACTCCATTCCTTGAGGGATGACTTGAACCTGGGATTGTCAAGGATACTGCATCTTGAATATTCCCTACTCCTGCCCTGCTACAGGGTCTTCTCAGGAGCAGATATACTAAGCATGCTGACTAATTTTATGTCAGCTTGACACAAGCTAGAGTCATCTGAGGGGAGGGAAGCACAATTGAGAAAATGACTCCACAAGATCCAGAAATAGGGCATTTTCTTAATGATTAATGAGGGAGGGTCCAGCCCATGGTGGCTGATACCATCCCTGGGCTGGTGGTCCTGGGTTCTATAAGAAAGCAGGCTGAGCAAGCCATGTAGAGTATGTCAGTAAGCAGCTCCCCTCCATGGCCTCTGCATCAGCTCCTGCCTCCAGGCTCCTGTCCTGTTTGAGTTCCTGTCCTGACTTCCTTCAGTGATAGACTACAGTGTGCAAGTATAAGCCAAATAAGCTCTCCCCAACTTGCTTTTTTGGTCATGGTGTTTCCTCACAGCAATAGTAGCCTTAACTAACACACCACACAATAGGATCGTTTCTCTAGTCCTCAGGAATGCCCAGTGTGGGGAGTTCCACTCAAGAAAGATGAGGAAACTAAGGCATTATGATTCCTTCCCCTCCAGGAGAATGTAACTTCTGGCATCCCACTCAGGACCTGGATTCCAAATAAACCAGGCCTGCCGCATCAGCACAGAGTTGGGCACCAACACGTTAGCCTGTCTTTCCCCACCAGCACCCAATCAGTAGAATGGGAGTGAACATCAGGTACCTACTCTGTGGAGACATTGACAATGGTGGTCCGACTAAAGTGGCTGCTCCAGTCTGAAAGAGAGAAGAGATCCTGGTCTCTACACTGCTGGGGGCAATGGTGGGGACAGAATTCAAGGCTCCTGAACAAATGCCAAGGATCTAGAGACGCTTGCTTACATATGCTTTTCCTCCTGGTCCCCTGACTTGTCCCCAGCTTCCAGCAAAAGCATCACCCTCCTGGGTGGCACGGACTTGGGCTTTAATCTGTGAGACCAAGTGTCTATAGGGAATCCCCAGAGCATGACTGGCACCTAGCAGACGGCCAGCAAACTAGTTTTGAGGGAACCAGAAGGCTGTCTAGCCACCATCAGACCAATGACATTAGCAATGCTGGCCACAATCCCAACAAGAACCCCAAACTCCAGAAAATGGGACATTGTCTCTTTGGAAGCAGGTAGATCTTTCTGGCTGCAGGTACTGATCTGTCTGTTCAGACAGTTCCAGGCTTCATAGAACCTCTGAATCTCCTGCATTATCCTCGCCACATGCGAGTGCTTGGAATGAGAATCTGGATGTCAAGCACACTGCCTCTGGTGCTGAGATCTGGTGCATACTCAATATGCTACCGTAGATTTGTTCAGGTCTACATCTGGCTGAGGAGAAACAGGGAAAACCTGGGATTGAGGTAAAACTGTCTACTAACAGGATACCGAAGAAAGCACTGGACACCAGCCCTTTGGGCAGCTCTGACCCTCCCACAGTTCTAAGGAAGACACAGTTGCTGTTCCATGAGCTCCTATAGATTATCAAGTACGTGGCATAAGTCTCTCCCTGTGTCTAAATAGTGGAGGGAACAGATTTAGAAGCTAAATTCTTGGTCAGCTTGGGAGAGGGCGGTTTTTTTGTTTTTTTGTTTTTTTTCAGTAGATGTGGGCAAAAGCTGTGGAGTCAAGCTCTCACTCACAATGCTGCCATGGTACAATGAGTGTGGGCAGATGTCCTAATGACCAAATTCTGCATGAACAAAGCTGTGTCCATCAGGGTATATGTCAGGGAGAAGCAGAGGTTAGAAGCCTCTCCGGTGAGCCACACATCCTCCAACAGCACAAGGATATTTAGAGACAGTTCTAGGCTGAACTATGAGTTCGTCCTATTCCACACCCTAGATCAATCAAGGCGGTATCATCCCCGGTCTGCACATGAGGGAACTGCAGTAGTTTACCTAAGGACTCATGACAACTGTCTTCCAAAGAAAGGACTAAACGCCAGATTTCTAGACCCGCCCCCCAAGGCCCAAGTTTTAGCCAAGCTGCTAAGCTGCCAGTGGCTCAGGGCCAACAGTCCACTGAGCGTTGCCTACCCAGAGCAGCTCCAATGTAGTTAATAGGCAAAATGATGCCCAGGGAGGGGATGCAGAGGATGAGCACGTAAATGATGAGGTGATACTGGAACATAATGTAGATACGGGCATCGTCCCCGCACTTGCTGATCAGGTCCCGATCCCTGCAACAGACAAGAACAGATGCAGTCCTTGGGTACAAGGGTGATCACTGCTTGCGTGGGGGTGGGTAGAGGAAACAGTAGGAAGAGGACCACCTTACTCCTGAGTTTTATTCTTGGGGAAAATATTGCCCTTCTTCTCAATGCCTCAAGTGTGCCTGGAGAGCATGTCAGCGAACACAGGTGCGTTAGAGAGAGGCTGTGCTCTGGGCACAGGAGGGAACTCAGAGCCCTGTGAACTCATCAGTCAGCCTTTCAGTCCTGCAAACATTTTGGGCTTGTGCTGGGGGCACTACTGGTAACTCAGATGTGTCCCTTCTGTAAAGTTTTTTTTATTTTTCAGTTCCTTCAACTCAAAGGCAATGCTCCACATTGCCAAGCTGGCCAAAGCGGCAGAGTAGAGAATGGCCAAATGGAGGTGAGGGCAAGGGTGTTGGGAGCTTTCCTCTATGGAAACTGAGTATAGGCACTGGCCAGACACACTGGAGAACAGCTGGCCTTAGCTAATGTGTACTCTGTGACCTAGCAATTTCACTCCTAGGTGATATCCAACAGAGATATGACACACTTATCAAGAGATGTGGGTTAGTGTCTATAGGTGTATCATTTGTCACTGCCCTGCCTGTCTCACCATGATGCCAGTGCCCGTAGAAGTCTGCCACAGTGAGAGGTGTTCTCTTGTCATCTCAGTCATTGGGAGGTAGAGGCAGGAGGATTAGGGGTTCAAGGTTATCCTAAGCTACATAGTGAGTTAGAGGCCAGACTGGGCTACATGGAGGCAAAACACCACATAAAAATAAAATAAAAATACATCCTTATAGAAAATTGATACATCCTTATAGAAAAATTGGAAAATAAAAAGGAAAATAATTCTACTATCATCTCACGAGCCTAAGGTGATTTTTAAAGATTTATTTTTTTATGTGTGTGTGCATATCTACCATGGGATTTTATGCATACCATGTGTGTGCAGGTACCTTTGGAGGTCAGAGTGTTGGTTTCTCCTAAAACTAGAGTTTGATGTGGGTGCTAGGAACCGAACCTGGGTCCCCTACAAGAACAGCAGGTGCTCTGACATTCAATAGAGCATTTTGAGTAATTTCTTGTTTCTTGTGCAAGTTTTTCTTAGTGAAGGTTAAGGTTTAAAGATGGTTTGTCCCCTCAAAAGCTGTTATGGAGTTTGGTGCCCACTAAGAGGTATGAAGAGAGTGGAAAGTTATTAATAGGTTAGAAGTGGGGCCTTCAGGGCAGGTGAGGGTTTCAGGGTATAAAACCCATAGTGAAAGAGATTACAAGACACACGTGTGTGGGTAGATGTGGGCATGGACACCCACATATATGCACACATGTTCACAGCCATGTGGTCTCCTCATTCATGGTTTTTTCACACCAGCCTTCTAGGTAGGTTCATCGGCTAGGTTCAGCTTCAAATATCTACTGCAGTATTCATATTTTTCAAAAATTATGACAAAAAGCATATCTTAGAGGTTTTCAATAACTGAATTTAGAGACTTATTCACAGGTCCTGATTTTCTATCTGTGGGTAATTAAAACATATCTAGGCTCGAGAATTAAGTCCCAAGGATAGGGTTTTGCAAATTGATGGGAGAATACCCTTGGGGGAATGGGGACATATCTAGCTGCAGGCTTGGGATGCCAGATCTGAAAGGCATGCCTGAAATGTGCATACGGAGATGGCGGGGACTCCAGAGACCCTCTAGACACACAGGAAGAGCGGAGGGATGGACTGGGCAGGGCTAACAAGATTTTCCTTCCTGGGTCAGGAATCCTGCTTCCAGCTTAGGATCCCTCTTTCCTCCATTCTTTACATTACATCCCAGGATGACGTGCACAGTTCACAGTTACCTCATGTGCACAGTTTATTCTGTTCTCCATTCCTTCCAGTTTTCTTGAAGACTTGCTGTTTCTACTGTCCTCCTCTCCCAACAGTCTCCTCTCTCCACATCCACCCACACCTTCCCCTGTAAACTCCAACCAGTTCCAAGTGTGTGTGGGTTACTGTAAAGTAAATCAGGCAGCTCATCAAGTAGCAACCTCCCCCCATCCTATTTTCCCTCAAGGTCTCTCTGATATCTTATTTCCCTTCTCCTACACATCCCTTGGAAAGTAAGGTCTGTTCTGTTTCCACACCTTGAGCATCTGCTTACCTTAAAAATGCCTCCCCAAGAAAGGTGCAGATCATAAAGGTAGACCTCCTCCGGCCATGCCTGCATGGACTTGTGTGATCTCAGACCCTAGAAGAAGCCCCTTCCTTCTCCTCTCAGCAAGGCCTCCTTGGACCTTTGCTGATCCTGGGCCCATCTGTTCCTGTCACTTCAAACTTCAGTCTCTAAGCACCTGTCTGTCATGTCTAAACCCTCTGCTTTGACCAGTCTCCTAAGTTTTAATGCTGGTGTTTCAACAGCTGGCTGGTTGCCTCACGTGTTTGCCTGAGTCATGTGTCATCATTTTATGTTTCTTCTCCCGCCCTCTGCCTTTATTGTTCTACACAGACCTGGAGAGATGCCTTCAGGTTTAGGAGCACTAACTGCTCTTCCAGAGGGCCTGGGTTTGATTCCCAGCACCCATATGGCAGCCCACAACTATCTGTAATTCATGCATGTGGTACACAGATAAATAGATAGATATGTATATATGTATATACATACATATATATGCAAAAATACAATACAATATATTACAATAAATAAGTTTAAAAACTGGCGTTTTAAACTGGACATGGTGGTTCATGCGTTCAATCCCAGCACTTGGGAGGCAGAGGCAGAGGCAGGAAGATCTCTGTAAATTTGAGGCCAGCCTGGTCTAAAGAGTGAGTTCTCTACAGTTATGTAGAGATAAATAGATGATGATGATGATAGATAGATAGATAGATAGATAGATAGATAGATAGATAGATAGATAGACAGATAAAATTAAACCAGGCCATGTCTTATCGACTGTTGTCCCGTGATTCCCTCCCACTGTTGCCCTGATCACTTCTCTAATTCCGGTCACAGCCACCTCACCCTGAACCACTTTACAATAGCCTCTCTGACTGTGGACTTTGTCAGCGCTTGCTCACCCTCACATTCCCGCCTGTGGATCAAATCCCCGGAGTCTCCATACGGCAGGCACAGTCCCATCGGATCCTTTGGCACTGTTTTCCACCTTCTCACTTTACCATGCAGCCCTGCTTCTAGCTATTCCAGAAGATTCGCCAGTTCTGACTCTCTCTCCTCAACTCCACCCCAACCTTGCTCACACAGTCCTTTCCTTCTGGCATGCCCTCCATTCTTACTTCTTTTGAGATTCTTCTATCCTTCAAGTCCTAGCTCAAAAAACACGCTCTCCCTGAAGCCTCTGGTGGGAAGTCCTTCTCTTTTCCCCAAATGCCCCTTTGCCTGGCAGATTGTAAACCACCCATTAAGAAGGATACATAGACTCTTTCTGGCTGCTGTTTCTCTGAGTAGACTGCACACACAGGGACTCTGGCTGAACTGACTCTGCTCAATAAAATATTTAGCTGCCATCTGTGACAGTGCTCCAAGGGTACCAGATGTAATACAAAGTCCCACTTTTCTGCCTTCCTTGATGGTGTGATTCCCATAGAGAACCCCCTTGATAGGAGCCTTAGGGTGGGGTAGAGGTGGGAGTCAAGATGAACACAGGTTCACACAAAGCTTGTACACTGACCTTCTCATTGACTGGTTGGTTCAGGCATTCACACACCCAATGCAACAACACAGTGACCTGAATCTTCTGCACTCACTGACTCTGCAGAGACACCTTCTGCATGAAGTCCCATTGATTTTACCAGTACTCCATTAATACTGTTCAACTGTCAGTTTTAATTGTCAATTTGACACAATCTAGATTCACCTGGGAAGAAGCCCCAGTGAAAGACCATCTAGATCAGGTTTGCCTGTGAGCATGTCTGAAGGAGATTATCTCGGTTACATTTTTTATTGTGGGAAGATGTGCCTACTGTGGGTGGCACCATTCCCTGGGCAGGGGATTCTGGACTATGTATCAGAGTGGATAAAGCAAGCTGAGCGTTAGCATGCAGCATTAATTTACTGCTTTCTGCTCTTGATTGTGGATGCAATATGACTAGTGGCTTCAAATTCCTGCTGCCTTGACTTCCCCAAAATGACAAGCTGTGACCTAGAACTGTGAGCCAAATAAGCCTCTCTAAAGTTGCTTTTGTCAGGATATCTCAGCATGGCAATGGGAAGCAAACCTAAGATTACATGCCAGTGATGGAGAAAATCCAGAGGGTAAGCTTCAAACTCCCGCTGGGGATCTCTTTCTCCACACTTGAGGTTGTGGTTATTTGCGTGGTCCTATTTATCCCAACTCTCTTTCCCTTGTTCCCATACGAAGGGATGAAAAAATGCCCCACCCAGCTTTGCCTGTGAATTTGACAAATGCTGGTGTGTACTGCCTCCCGGGGGAACGGACGTTCAGACATGAGCTATGCTCCTGCGTCACATGCCTGGTCTCGACTATGTTAAGAAGTTAACATGGAGACCATTGCCTCCAGAAAGTCAATCTCATGGGAACCGGTAAGTTATTTCTCACAAAGATGAGTTACAAAAGCTTCTCTCTGGGACTGGCGGGGCTCCATGGCAGAGTGCATGCTGTATAAGGCTCTGGGCTGGATCCCCAGAATTATAAAAAAGAAATTAAGTTTGCACCTGACTCCTGACTTGTGGTCTGGCTTCCTGCCTTATGACATAATCTAAAAAAAAAAAAAAAGACATGATCTTGTGGCTGGGCGTTGGTGGCACGTGTCTTTTATCCCAACACTCTAGAGGCAGAGATAGGCGGATCTCTGTGAGTTTGAGGCCAGCCTGGTCTACTGAGCAAGTTCCAGGACAGGTTCCAAAGCTACACAGAGAAACCCTGTCTTGAACCAACCAACCAACCAACAAGCAAACAAACACAACAAGAACAAAAAAAAAAACATAAAAAAAGACATGATTTTGCCATGGAGGCCACACCAGCTGGATGCACCATGCCTTTGACACTTTAGAATTTCTAATAGACTTCTTTTCTTCTTTGTAAAGTTACCTGGACCTGAGTATTCCATTATAGTAACAAGAAACATATTGATAAACATTATTGATTTAAATACAAAAATAAACTAGGCCTGGTGGTGCAAATCTGTAACTCCAGCATTTAGGAGACCGGGACAGGAGATCGTAAGTTGAAGGGCAGCCTGGGCTACGCAGTGAGGCCTTGTCTCAAAAAATCAGTATAATAATGTGTCTGTGTACAAATGATGGTGGACTTTAATCATTCAATCACACAATGAAAGCATGTGTGTTCTGGCTTACGCGTGTTTAATAAATAAACAAAGCAAGCAAAACCAGAGGAGTGAAGACATCTAAAAGACCGCCCTCAACTGACCCACATATGGCTCTGCATCGAGAAGCTGACACTTTCCCCACACAAAACAACAGCTGCTTCACTTGCTGGGGACTGTGGTGAGGGAGGGAGGAGCAGTGCAGGCCAAGGCCATGAATCCCTAGTGGAAGCCACAGTCCTAGGCACAACTCAGGATTTCCATGGCCCAGCACGAGTTGGTTCCCAGATGGGAAAGGAAGGTAGGTGTCCCAATGGTTCCTGGGAGTGTGTCTCAGAAAGGCCTAATTAGCAATGGTGGGTGTGGAGAAGCATGGAGTTCAGCAGACTTTGTAGAGGGAAGCAGGGCCACCCAGGACAGCACATGGTCTCTGTGATGGCTGTTCTTGGTTGTCAACTTGACTACATCTGGAATTAAGGAAGTCCCAAATGACTGGGCATGACTGTATGGGACTTTCTTTCTTTCTTTCTTTCTTTCTTTCTTTCTTTCTTTCTTTCTTTCTTTCTTTCTTTCTCTCTTTCTCTCTTCCTCTCTTTCTTTCTTTCTTTCTTTTCTTTCTTTTTTGGAATTATTTATTTGTTATGTATACAGTGTTCTGCCTGCATGTATCCCTGACTACATTACAGATGGTTGTGAGCCACCATGTGGTCTCTGGGAATTGAACTCAGGACCTCTGGAAGAACGGGCAGTGCTCTTAACCCCTGAACCATCTCTCCAGTCCGAGACTTTTTTCTTAATTAAATCATTTGATAGGAAGATCCACTTCTAATCCAGGTCTTTGGGGTGGGAAGATTCACCTTTATTCTGGGCCATACCTTCTACTGGCAGGCTTTATAAAGTACATGGAAGAAGAAAGCTCTCTGTTTGCCTGCTTGCTCTCACTATCACTGGCAAGTCCGCATTATAGTCTACTTCTTCAGGATTCCAGTGTATACTGAAGACCAGCTGAGACATCCAGCCTTGTGGACTGAACAACTACTGGATTCTTGAACCTCCATTCATAGGCAGCCACTGTTGGGTTAGCCGGACCACATCCTGTAAGCCACTCTAATAAATCCTCTTTCTCTATACATAGAGAGATTCACTCTGTAAGTTCTGTTCCTTTAGAAAACTCTGACTAATACAGTCCCTAGGGAGTAGTGAGGCTGTACCCTGTATGGCAGGTGTCACCAGGCAAGAAAAGACCCTGGAGAAGGGACAGGAAGGAGACAGGCAAAATTCAGGGGGAGTCCAGAAATATATGTGACTCTGAGCACAGCCAAGGAAAAGCTGTGTACACATGTGCATGTGTGTGTATGTATGAGTGTACATGTCTGTATGTATGAGTGCATATGCCTGTTGAGAGGTCATGAGTGCCTCTGAACATGATTGTACATGCCTGTATACAGGCGTATGCAGGTCTCTGCACTGAGGGTGTAGCCAAGGCTCACTCAAATATATGTCTGTTCAACTGAAGTATCAGGCCGGTAGTGGGGTGTTATGGGAATTCATCCTGCCCGTAGACTTAGAGTACCAGCCTTAGGGCATGACTTCTTGTCTGCTGGCGTGATCTATTATAAGGAAGGGGGCAGTCGATCTCTCTCTTGGGAGGTGGGAGCAGAAGCAAGCCTTGTGGTTGTTCACATCTCCCCTGGGAAGAACAGCAGGACACAGCAGCTGGATCCACAGCGGCTTCCACCTTGCCCTGTATTCCTGTATCCGTGAGTCTGTATTTCCCATGGAATCCCCATAATAAAGACTTCTGTAAATTCTCGCATCATCTGGTGCCCCACGTTGGGCATCATCTAAAGCGAGAGCCCGCAAAAGTATAATGAGCAATTTATTAAGGGGGGCAATGAAAAGACAAACTCACAGATACAGAGCAAAGCCGATGCCATGGTCGATCTAACTGCTTGTGCCCAGGAGTCTAAAGCACCAACCTTGTTGACACCTCTCCGCCACTTGGTCTCTCATCACGCCAAGCAAAAGTGAGAGAGCAAGAGACCGAGAGACCCTTCCCCCGAAGCTTATCAGCTGTCCTGTGGCAGACAAGACTACGCCCTAGGGCTGGTCCCACAAGGCTATCGGCGAAGTGAATTTCCACAATAGTGGGGAAATAAGAGAGAGCAAGTGTCTTGGGGTGTAGCTGTACAGAAATCCAGGTGAGGCAAGCAAGAATCACAAGGCTGTGCCTTTGCCATCCAGGCTCAGAGAAGGGACATCTGTCCTTCTGCTCCAGATAATTGATCCTCCTTGACCAATATTAACACAGAAAACAAGTGGTTGGTGTGCAAAGAAGGACTGCTTTTCCTGGAGCAGAGTCCACTGGCTTGCTTTTGTACTTGTGGGAGTAATGATTCCACTTTTACATGGGGGTCCCTCTCCGAGGGCTAAGGCAGAGGTGGCATGGGCAGAGTGCTGTACTCAGTTCCCACTCACCAGTTACAGCCTGGGAAAGGGCTCTCTGCTTACACTAGGTGAGGCTGGAAGTGGAGTAGGGTACGGCACTCAGGTCTGTCACCAGGGAAAGTCTGCTGATCTCTGCAGCCCCCTCCTATCTCACTCCCCCCACCCAGAGCAACACAAACAGAATCCCCAAGAGTGGCACTTACTTCATGGTTAGGCTGTTGAAGAACCAGGAACAGAAGCCCTGGAGAGGGAAAGGAGAGAAACTGTGAGAAAAGCCAGCCTGGCTTATTTTGCCTGACTATGGGGACTTAGACAGCAGAGGGTTGTTTATGTTGGGAGTCTCCTTTCACAGAGGGAGCTTTCTGGAATGGGGCAAGGGAAATGTCTGCTTAGAAGTGAGTGTGCATCCTTGCCCTCCTGATCAGTGAAGTGGGCTTGGAAGGAGGGCAGACGGACTCCTGACTGGACATATGCTGCTCTTCTCTGTCTTTTGTTGCTTTCTTCTGAGGAATCTCCATCCCCCACAGACATGTGGTCTAGTGCTGTCCATCAAATGTGAGTTTACCTTCAATGATTAGCTGGCCAATGGGAAAATGACCCAAAGGAACTAATTAAAATTCTCTTAAGAGGATGGATATGGGTGTGTGCTTAAGTGCCATGAATTCTGCAGTGTCTTGGTGCCGTCTCTGGTGCCACATACAGACAGCTTGAGGACAAAGCCAGCTTAAAGATGAGAAGACCCAAGAAGGGCCCTCTCAGCAATGCTGGACTTCTAGCTGTGCCTGAAGCAGCTGTTTGTCTTGAATTTCCCCAAACTTGAGCCTTAAATGACCCTTTTGTGGAAAACAAAACAAAATAAAACAAACAAACAAAAAACAAAAACAAAACAGTTTGAGCAAGCCTTGGCCCTTTGCAGCTCAGTGTCTTGTTTCGTTGAAGATGCCTTTCTCTCGGATCTTTGTGTCTCAGAGTTGCTAGGTAACAGGTAGAGGCAGCCTCAGCCATGGGAAAGTTGTTGGGAGCCCCAGGAGGGAGTAGGCTTGTGGGAGGCTCTTGCTGAGGGTGAACTGGGGCCTGTGGCTCTCGTAAAGGCTCGTGTGATGAAGGCTTGATCCCAGCTGGTGGCACTACAAAGACGTGAGTGTGCTAACATCATTCATGGGTTGGTCCACTGATGATCATAGGTGAATGGGCTCTGGGTGGGTGAGGGGACGTAGGCAAGTGGGGCACACTTTTGAAGAGTATGTCTTGTTCCTAATCTCTCTGTCTTCCTCTCCCCGTCAATAGCTGAGCAAAGATTGAGCCCTCCAAATCAGACTGAATATAAACAAACCTTCCCCCTGTAGGTCGTTAAGTTGTGACTAACACGATGTCATTGAAGCCAGAGCTCCTCAGAAATGTCCATAACTGAAAGGCAGTGGGGAGACAGACACAGGCTGGTCTCTTGAAGGGGTGGCCGCAGAAGGAACATGCTTCCACTTACCACACACAAAAGATCTGTATTGTGTTAGTTACAGCATGAGCTCAACTGGGTATGCAGATGTGAGGGTCACGGGGGGGGGGGGGGGGGGGGGAGAAGCAGATTCAGGAAGCTGGTCATGCAGACAGGGATGTTAGCAAGAGGCATGCTTCCTCCATGAGTGAGAAACAGAAGTCCAGGACCCAAGTGGGTTGGTTAGGGTCCCAGGGTGAGGAGACTCACAAAAAGGGCCGCTGGGGAAGGAGGGACAAATAGGTGGAAGGCTCTGAGATGGGAGTCAACATCCATTGTTGAGACACAAATTGGGTATGAGGCAAGGGAGCAAGCCGACAGGCCATGAAAGACATCTGAAATGGATTGGAAAAGCGTTAGAAAGAAATTGAAAGCAAGCATAGAGAACCTGTGTCTCGGGTCACAGGGATGACTCTAGATGCAGATGGAAGATGGATGGGGTGGGAACAAGGGAGGCCCTCAGGAAATCACTTAGAGCTGCTGAGGACATCCAGGCAAGAGACAGGCGGAAGCCTGAGAAGGGCTGATTGGGGAGGACCAAAATGAGAAGGTGAAAGGATCACAATTTGGGAAAGGATTGGGTCATGCCCAGGTGCTTGGCTAAGAGCGAGTTGGGGACAAGAAAGGGCTGCAATGAGGAATTAGAGGTGGCTGGAGGGTGTCATGGGGTGATTTAGACATACTGAACTCCTTTATGGTATTCGTGTGGAGTTTCTTTGAAGGTCACTGGATAAGAGAGAGGTTGGAGGCCTTCAGGACTAGCAGGAGGCCATGTTCAGAGGTAAACGGTAGTGACAACAGCTTAGGTTGTGAGAATGGGTGTCATGACTCAGAGACAGAGTAAGGAGGCAGAGGGAGGGGCTTGGGATAGTAGGGGACTTTAACAGTGGAGGGCTCTGCAAAGGGGTCAGAGGTGTAGCAAAAAAAAAAAAATCCCACAGAGCATTCCATAGACCCAATTGTATGTATTTGTTGAAGGCAGAGATACCAGAAAGTATGCCAAACTTTTTTGGCAAGTGATATGACATTGTCATCTCCAAATGAATTGGGCCATATTCCTAGCTATCCTGGGGCATGTGGTACTCAGACAACAGTTTGGGGATACCTCTCTGACAGACAGGCTAAGATGAGGATTGAGGAGGCCACAGGACTTAGAGGCAGTGGCAGAGGGCCGCTGATGGCTTTGGGACTCTGGTGGAATCAGGGGGTGATGACATATCTGGGGAGGTTGGGAAGGGGTGAGAGGTGAGGAAAAAAGACCACTGTTTAGTCAGCTGATGAGGCTGGTGGAAACAGCAGTATGGTACCCATGAGGAACACGGACAGTCCCTCTGTTTCCTCCCTTCTCCTTTCAGTCTCGGCCCAACTGTCATTTCAGTGCTCACACGATCCCTACTCACAGTGCTGTTCCCACCCTTAACTATTGTAAACCTTTCTTGTCCCCCTTTCCCATCATGCACTCATTTTGTCCTGAATATATTGATTTGCTTGTCTCCCAGCCCTGGAAGAAAGTACCATGAGGCAGGACTTGGTCTCCATTGTCCATCCCCTTGTCCTAGGGATGCAACGACCATACCCCAGGTACCCACAGAAACTGGTCAAATGAGTGGCAAAGGCAGAATTCCACAGGAAAGAGAAAGCAGAACGCAGGGCTGGGTGGGGCAGGGCTGGACAAGGCTGAGAATTTCAGTCCTGCATGACCAAAGGAAGGCACTCTAGGATCTAGGGATGGTTAATACTTCCATCTTTCTGGTGGGAAAACTGAATCTGGGGAGGCTGAAGAAGCAGCTGCTACTCTGTGCACCATGACTGCCTGCTCAGGGTTGGAGTCCCTCAGGGCCCAGACCGCTCCCAGCACTCACCTTGTCCTTGCGTTCCACCTCCAAGGAAATCTCTGAGGGAGACGACTTCTCACTTTGCTCCCCATAGATCAGCGAGGTCATGCTGCCCGCCAGGAAGGGTGGCAGGGAGGTGGAAAAGGAAAGACGAGGTCTCAGACCCCTGCCTTGCACCCTCTCTGTTCCCTAGCTGGGGGACACTGGCTCCTCTTTCCCAGAGCTGTGCCCTGCAGGCCTCAGCTCCTTAGCTGGACACGCAGCTCCCGGTATAGACAGAGCCACCCATGCTGCCAGGTGCATGATGCACTTTGGGAGCCCAGACATGGGTTCTGGAAAGACCAGGACACAAGCATGGCTTTATGCCCAAAGATGGCTGCCCTCCATGTTCCTGTCCCTTCAGGGAGGTCAATGCAGGGACAAAGGCTAGGGAGAGGATGCCACTAGCCAGTGAGACACTTCCTGCAGCTTTGGCACCAGGCAGTGACTCCCAAGGGAGTAGGGTGCCACAATCTTGCCCCCCCTTTACCTGTCATTGTGTATTAGCAGAGCCAGGCGCCCGTAGTCCCACGCAGCTTTCCGGAGGAAGGAATAAAGCAGGACAACGAACTGCAGACCCAGAAAAGTAATGTGGAGCAGGAGACGTCTCGTGCCTTCTTTTGCACCAGTCTCCTGCATCCCCACAGGGTGGGGGGCACCCTAGTCCTGAAGTCTACAGAGTGCACCCCCTCAGATGCTAAGTTCTGCCTTGGGAGGAGCTGTCCCTTTGAACTGGCATTTCCTGACACAGAGCACATGGTCAGTTTGTGGAATGGAGGAGTTGAGGGTGTGATTAGGGCGATTAAACAAGAATATCCCATGACAACATTAGCGGGGGGACAGAGAAGGAAGGTCCAAAGGCACAGGTCAAATGGACTTTTCTTTGGTGGTATAGAGAAAACTCCAGAAATACTGCCTCTTCCTCCAACCCCAAAGCCCTCCCACACAAGCCACCTAGGCTGGACCATCCCTGTGACTGGTGTCCATTGGATAACTGGGAGCCCCACTATGTTTCTGGTCATCCACTTCCTACCCTGGCTAAAATCTCCCTGTGTCTCTCCCAAAGCACCCAAGACTTACCAGCCATAAGATGAGGTTGAGTACGAGCACAGTAGGGATCCCCCCAAAGGGCTGCCCCTGGAGGACAGTGCTCTGGGACTGGAAACACTCGTCCGCTGTCATATTGCGAAACTTTGGGACCTCTGAAGAAGAAGACATCCTGGACACACTCAGGCTCCCAGCCTGGGGAAGGCTCTCTGTCAGACTCTGCGAAACACAGAAAGATGCTAGGGGGTGTATGGGGCTATGCACTGAGGATAGCAGTCAGCTAGGCTGGGGGACACATGAGACTCAGGGGGCCAATGATGGGTTTGGAATTATGACATCAAAGGAGAAGAACCGGCCCATTTGAGCTACAAGGTTACAACCCCATAGCTATGCAGACAGAGTAGCTTCAACTCCCTGAGCAATTATTTTATACTGCTTGGCCCTTTTTTAAGTTGCAAAGACTGGGCAGTGGTGGTGTGCACCTTTAATCCCAGCACTTTGGAGGCAGAGACAGGCAGGCTTCTGAGATCAAGGACAGCCTGGTCTACAGAGTGAGTTCTGGGACAGCCAGGGTTCACAGAGAAACCCTGTTTCGAAAAACTTTTTAAATTGCAAAATGCAAATGTAAATGTATCTTCCTGTTGATATATATATATATATATATATATATATATATATATATATATATCTCACAAAGGGAAGCTAGATCCCAGAATAGAAAAGTTCAAGTTGGCACACAGAGTCATTGTGATCATGAGACACCCAAGTAGATGGGGCTCACTGCTGTTTCCTCTACATTCTATGACTCTCCAGGAAAGACATGATCCCTAAGGATGCAAGATGCCTAGCACAGAGGAGTGACCCAATAAACTCCTTGTCTAATGTAATTTATAGTGTGTGTGTGTGTGTGTGTGTGTGTGTGTGTGTGTGTGTGTACGTATGTACTTGTGAGCAAGTGTATGGAGGCCAGAGGACGACCTTAGGTGTCATTCTCAGGAATGCTTTCCATATCTTTTGAGACAGAGTCTCTCATTGGCTTAGAGCTTGCCAATTAGACTAGCCTGGCTATCCAGCACACCCTGAGGATTTCCTGTTTCTGCCTCTCCAGTGCTGGGATGACAACTACACCTGACACTTTTATGTGGGTTCTGAGGGCTAAACTTGGGTCCCCGTGCTTTTGAGGCAAGCACTTCACTGACTGAGCTGTCTCCCTAGCTGGTAAACTCCGTGTTACCTTGTCTTGGAACCTAGAAGACCAGCACCTGCCCAGGTCCTCACCCATTCAGTGGAGTTGGGCATTCCGGTAAGTCCCAGATGCAAAGCCACAGTCACTGCTTTAGAACTTTACAGGTATCGCTAAGAGGAGCCACGCACAAAGTGGCCCGATTGAACTTTCATTTGGGCTCTAGATCTCACCCTAGGTCTCTTTGATCTCATTTAAGAGAAGTGTCATTCATTCATTCATTCATTCATTCATTCAAATATTTTGTGATTCGCTGCTTTGTGCATGCATGCTGCTGCTGGTATCTCAATGATATGACAAATAAGAAAGCCTCCTTCATGGTTCCCTAGTGGGAAAGAACACACAGGGAGAGGATCAGTAGCCACTGTGGGCACAAGCCATTCTTTTGCTGGTATGGGGAAGCAACCTCCTAAGCAGAGACAAACTCTCAGTGCATTGAGGGAAGGACAAACAGACTGGACAAGGGATGGCAAGGATAGGTGTGAGTGGTATGAAGTCACCTAAGTTTTGAAGGATCCTTTGATTGAGGATACAGGCATAAGGGAGGGACAGATGAGCAAAGAGAGGACCCACAGGATCCAGGCAATGACAATCTGGGCAGGGCTGACTGCTTGAGAGTGGTGGGAAGCAGCTGGACACTTTGAACATGGAGCTAGCAAGAGTTCCAAGCAGACAGGATGGGGGAAGATAATAGATAGAAGTCCGGATGACTCTGAAGTTTTTAGCCCAAGAAATTGAAAAAATAAAATGGATCTTCTGTCACTGGAAAGGTGGGGGAAGAAGAGGAGAATGGAGTACAATGGTTTGGCTAAGGAGCTATGGGTGTGGACCCAGAAGACAGCCTGGAGACATAAGCATGAGAAGAAAGCTGCCAGCATAAGCAGCTCTCGGAGGCAAAGGACCAGATCACTGAAGGAGGGGTACAGAGAGGGAAGAAAGAACAGAGGAGGTCGAGGCAGAAGCCAGTGACTGGGGAATAGCTGATAACTGCCCAAAGGAGAGGCACCACGACCCCAGACAGAGCTTCAGTGGGAAAGAAGAAGAGCTTGGGAATAACGGAGAAGAGTGAAAAAGAAGGCTCTTCACCACCACCGGACAGTGCTGGAGAGAAGCAGCTGCTCTAAGGGGTTGCTCCAGGGCCTCCAGTACACCCAGGAGGTAAGAGAGGCTGAGGGGTCGGGCTGTTTGCACTCCATGGGTTCTGTGACACTAGAGCTCAGCTCTGACAATTGCTCCACGCCCAATGACCTTGAGCGAGGTACTAGAGGTCTCCATGCCTTGGTTTCCTCATCTGTCAAATGAGCAACTGACACATTCCACAGGGCTGTTGAGAGTTGAGACAGTTGAGATTTGTGGGTCCTACGAAGCAAGGCCTAGAACTTGGGAAGCATCACATAAAGTCTGTAATAGGAGACGTGGACGTGAAGTCCCACGGGGGCTGGCAAGGGGGAAAGAGAGCAGGAGATGAGGTGATCCTGGCTCACTGGCAAAAGCGGCAGTAGACCATGCGTTAATGGTGCTCTCAATCTTGGTGGAAGAGGCTTCTCTGCTGTGGGCGGCAGGCGGTGACCGCAGTCTCTTACAGCTGTCCAGAGCGCTGAGAATAAGTGACTGCTGACCGCGGAGCCCTGAATGGGACATTTATGTCAACCCCCTCAAGGTGCAGGGAACATTGTAGAAGATGGGATGGGAAAAACTAAGAGCCAGACAAATGCTGTCTTCTGGACAAAGTACTCATCAACACACAGCAGCTATGGCTACTTACATAACACCCGAGTACGATCAAGCTAATCAATGTTCCAGCATAGCAGGGTTCACCCCTAGCTAAGGAGCTATTGGCAACTGATGGCTGCCGGAAGAGGGGAAGTCATCTTTCCTCAGAGGTGCGTCTGCTGGTAAACTGTCCATGCTCTGCCCATATCCATGCATATGCAGGAAGCACTGAGCAGACATCAGACTTAGTTAATAAAAAGAAGGGTTCAGTTCCCAGCACCCACATGGCAGCTTGTAACTGTCTGTCATTCCAGTTCCAGGGGACCTGACACCCATAGCAAAGCACCAATGCACATAAAGTAAGAATGAATAAATTTGGAATAAGAGGATATGAAGGCCAAGAAGGAAGGTTTTTAAGGGTCCCAGAGGGAGTGGAAAAGATTTGGGATGTACATGATCAAGATATAATGTATACAAAATTTTCAAAGAATAAATAAAAGTGTCCTTTTAAAATATTCTTTTAGTAAGGGCTGAGGGCACAATGAGATTCACCTTGAGAAAGAAAGGAAAACAAAAATACGCATTCTACTCTTTGAGTTAGTGTCTAGCAAGAGCCCACACTACCCTCCTCTCATTTCTACTGAGGTGTCCCGGGTTTTATTGCCTATTCAAGGTCACCGACTAACCTGTCATAGTTGACACTGAACACAATGCACTTGGGTCATACACCTGAACGTCAAAGTAACAGCAATGGCAATCCCCAGGGTAAGAGGAGCAGCTTTGAGAACCATCCACTTCTGCAAGAAGTGACAGTTCTGATGATAGCCACTGGAGGGAGCTCACGCTAAAGAAGGTGGTACTGGAAGGTGACACCCCACCACACATACAAATACACACATCTCCCGACCCCATGACCACACACACACACACAAAGACACAAAGGCAGAGGATATACTTCCTGCCTGGGGCAGTTCTCCAAGGAAGGTCCACTTAGCTATAGGTTTCCTTTGAAAGAACAGATGTGGTGGAGAGAGCATCTTGGGGGCCTTCCACTCAGACAAACGGCCTTTATCTGGGGTGTTTTGCACCACTCAGTCACTTGTCTTTTCATCTCTTGGTGTCTTTTACTTACTCATTTTTAAAGATTTCTTTTTTAGTTATGGGAGACATTAATTACGGAGAGCATAATGAACCTGTAGAAAACACCAGATCCCCTGAAGCGGGAGTTACAGGCGGTGTGAACCACCCCGAGATGTCTCTCTAGATCTTTGCTGGTGCCTTTCTGCTGTTGTTGTTGTTGTGTTTTTTGTTTCTCAAGACAGGGTTTCTCTGTGTAGCTTTGGAGCCTATCCTAGCACTCGCGATGTAGACCAGGCTGGCCTTGAACTCACAGAGATCCGCCTGCCTCTGCCTCCCGAGTGCTAGGATAAAAGTCATGCGCCACCACCGCCTAGAGCTGGTGTCTTTTAAAGTGGGAAGGGTTTGGACTTTTGACAAGGCGACCTCCCAGCTGAGGTGTGAAGGTGTAGGAGTTAGCACTGTGAGGTAAGGAAAGGTGGGTAGAGGGAACCTTATTGACAAAGACCAATGGAGCAGACAGGGTGAATAGGACATTCTCAAGTTGGAATAAACAGTGGTAGCTAGAGAGAGGGATGGATCACTTGTTTGCCCATCAATCCATGCAACAAGATGGATCTGGGGCTGAAGAGATGGTTCAGGGGTTGAGAACACCTGCTATTCTCCCAGAGGACCCACACAGAAGCTCACAAGCATCTGTAATTCCAGTTCCAGGGGTTTTGACAGCCTCTTCTGGCCCCCATGAGCACCAGACACACATGTGTTACACAGATATACAATACAGGCATAACACTCATACACAGAAAATTAAAATGGAACCCCCCCCACACACACGAATTGATTCACTACATCAAACATGCCAGGCCCCATGCAGACCCTGGAGGTACAAATATGACATACTCCTGAGGGAATTTGCAGCCTTTAGGAGTTGGAGAGAGGATTACTATTGGCCTAGGGATGGGAAGACCCTCAGCTATGAAGTCCCAGTGTAAGCTTGGAGTTGGGGGTGGGAGTTTCTATCCAACAATATAGTCAGTTCAGGGTTTCAGCTCCATCTGCCTGGCCTGCAGGGCAGGTGCGGGAAGGAAAGAGAGAAGAATAGTTTACCTCTCCCACCTTGTCACCCAAGCTCTCAGGCAGCAGGCAGAGGCAGTGAGGAGGCTGTTGCCATGGAAACCTAAAGCAGCACCCAGCCTTTCTCCATACACTGCTCCATCCTAGACTTGCATTCTTCCTTCATCTTTATAATAACCCCAAAAGGCAATGCCCCATTATCCCCCTATCCAGAAGTGACTCTAAGCTGGCTCTTGGCTGTGAAGGAGGGATGCAGAAAGCTGAAAGGGTTAGCTTTGGAGATCCAAGCACGAGCCCTTCCTTAAGCTTGAAACCTGAGGATTCTAGAGATACAGATGGCTGGGATACTAACCTGATACATGCCTAGAGTAGCAGGTATTGGGAACCATGACTCTTTGGACAATAATTTCATAGCAGAAGACAAAGAACTGTTCAAGGAAGTGGAGAGAATTTGGCTACCTGAAGCCAGGACATCACATTTAAACCGTGGGTCTATCCTAGTGACCATCCCTTACCTCTGTGAGCCTCAGATTCAGTGAAAAGTGGGCATAACGGCAGCTCCGTCTCACAGGGTTATTGTGACAGTGGAGGAAGATGGTTCATACATTCCTTTGTACAATGCTGAGAACGGCATCATCCCTCAGGACTACTCAGTGCTGCCTCCTCCTCCTCCTCCTCCTCCTCCTCCTCCTCCTTCTTCTTCTTCTTCTTTTTTTTTGTTTTTTTTGAGACAGGGTTTCTCTGTGTAGCTTTGAGCCTATCCTGGCACTCACTCTGAAGACCAGGCTGGCCTCGAACTCACAGAGATCCACCTGCCTCTGCCTCCCAAGTGCTGGGATTAAAGGCGTGTGCCATTGATGCCCAGCCCCAGTGCCACCTTCATGTCATTGGCTTACTGAGATGGTGCTGAGGGGCCCCTACTGGGCCATCCATAGGCTCCTTCCTGCTACTCGTTCTTTTTGGGGCTAGGACCAAGGAAAGATGTGGGGAGGAGAGTCCACTATTCTTTAAATTGCAGTCATTGGGCAGCCATTGTCTCTGCTCTTTCCATGAGCAAAAATGAAATTACACTATTGATTTGAACTTGGGATTGGGGAAGAGAGGGGATAAGAATGCTGGTCTGTGTGGCAGGTCCCCTCCATGTTCACATACCTTGTCTGAATGGAGAGGGACTAGCTCCCTCCTGCCCACG